AAATAGATTTTATTAACTGTAACTGCAAGTATCCATTATTATTAATTGGATATATTATAAATTTAATGCATTAAAACTTTATCAATTAAATCTATTTAAAAAATAATTTAAAAAAATCAAGAAGTGCATTTATTGCTTTTAAATCAATGAGTTTATCAAGCAGTTTCAACTTAAAAGATAATTTGAAGTAGATGTTAAGTGCCCAAGAAAGTGTTGGTACGTTACATCGAATAGCAGCACTCTGAAAATAGGTTATAGGTCAGGCCGTGTGTATTCGTTGCTTTTCAATCAATCAGTTTATCAAGCAGTTTCCACTTGAGAAATAATTTAAAAATCGTATGCTACATTGAATGGCATCACTCTGGAAATTGGTTATTTGTCATGCCGCGTGTAAGATGGAATAACTATATTATGTTTTATGAAGTGGTAACATTTGTCAAATAACGTGGAGCATAAAGCTCCATGTTATTTGACAAGCTCGTGGTGCATTAAGGTTAACATAAGATAAAAATTCAAAAATTAGAAAAATATTCCATTAACGATGTTTCTAATGTAAAGTGCTTAGCATGGCACTCAAGATACATTTCTTAAAATTGCTGTTGCCAAATTTACAATCTTATTTTTTCATAAAAGAAAACTTCCGGGCATTTTCTTAATGTAGGTTTGCTTTCTCATTTTACAGCAGTCCCTTAAGCAACGAATTTGCTGTAAAGCTTTGATCTCGCTTTTGTACTGCTAATGATAGCCCAGTGTTTGGAAAAAGTCATGTGCAAAGAAATGAGAATGCAAATTCATTCTTAAATATGAATGCACATTTTTGATTTATTTAAAGCTGATGTTTATCACTTCCGAAAATTGAATTATTAGAAACTTGTTCTTTGTGATTAGCTTTTGGTGACTCCCCCCCCCCAGCAATTTAGCCAGAAAGCTGGTTAGTATAAATATTTCATATTTGCTGTGAATTTGTATTTTCGAAAACATAATTTCCACACTCCAAAGGAACTCAGTTCGGGAACTTTTCATTGTCGGCCCTTGCCTGCGATTGTTTCGATACTATTACAGGAAGTAGATGCTTTTCTACAGTGGATGAATGTCTGTATACAAATGAGTATATGAGAAATTATGTTTTCGTAAAGTTCATGCAAACAGCAACTTGAATATTATTTCTTGCACGACATTTCAAACTTTCGTCATTGATGAAATATGTTTTATAAAAACGGTAGCCTTTCCTTTTTGTTAATAGGTTTTCCACTGTAGACTCTTTTTTTTAAATCTAAAATAAATCCGGTTGTGCGGGGAAAATATTGCTATTGGACATTCTTTCATTTTTGAGTAAGCATTAAAATATAGAATGGAGATATTTAGATTGATTTGTAAATACTTACCATCAATTTACTGATAACAGATTAATTCGTACTTACTAACAATTACAAATAGCCATTTAGTGTAATGATGTTAAGAAAGAAAAATTTGACGGTTTGAAGTTAAATAGATGAATCATTCAAACTGCTATTTTTTTAAAATATAAATTAGTCGAAAGCTGATTGTTAGGTCAGGTTAGGATTAGTTTATTAAATTCAAGCACATGAGGGCTATCTGCTTAAGAGAATGATACCTTCGTGAAGGACTTTCTGAGGTTATCTGTTTTGAATTCCCGTTACAGATGGGGAAAACCTGCAAAAATTTGCTACAGTAAGGCTATTCGTCATATTAAAACTTGGCTTCAGTACTTTTCAGAGGTCTTATGTACTTTATTCGGTCTCAAGATATGATCATAATAACCCGTAAGTTAAAAGTTTGCATGATGATAAATAGCATAATAAAAATTCAATTAATGGATCAATATTTATTTCTATTGCCCGTTGCATAATGACTTTCATCGCTGGTAATATTAAAAAAAAAATCTTAAATCTAAACATGTTGATTAGTTAAATGGATTGATTTATATTAAGTAATACATTTGAAACAGATATATTAATATAATTAACTATGCAAAAATCAAGAGAGAAAGACAAAAAAAAGTGTAAATTTTTTAAATATTTATTTCATATATTGTCTCCTAACAAAAACCTTAACGATCTACAGCTTTAATAGCATTGGGAAAAATATGAGTGTAATAAGTCCGCAAAAACGCTTCATTCCGAAATTATATTTCAAAATAGTGTTACTAATTTTCTTCCTGTATGACACTATAATGAAACTTTTAATTAAACGCAAAAAATTAAAAGTAGAATAGTATAAAATTTTAATCATAGCAACTATCACTTACGTCAAATGTCGCTTCAAAATTCTAAACAAATCCTAAAAAGCCGTAAAGCTGAGATAAACTTCACTTTGAAATCGTCTACAGAACAAAGTCGAAAAGAAAAATAGATATTTTAAATAAATAAGTTTATATTTTCGGTGAAAGGATGAAAGAGATATTTAAAATAAAAAAAAGATTGGGAGTGTTTTCTTTTCATAAACAAATATTTCAAAAAACAGAGTAAGAATAAATTTAATTTAAAATTATCTAAAGAAGAACTTTAGCTTGACGTAAGTTTCGAATAAAACTCTCTTCATTTCGAAGGGGATCAGACACAGATCACTCTTCTTTAGCAGAAAGTAATTTTAAATTGGTGTATTTATCTACTGTTTGGTAAATTTGATAACAATGACTGCTTCAATATAATTGTGAATATGCTATTGAACTTCTAGTAATAAAAAATTCAATCTTACTACAGTTTTCCAATACTTTGAAAACAATATATATAAGAAGACTTGCATTTTTAATTTTTGAATAATTTTAATTATTATTTAAACTATAAAATTAATCACAATTAGGTGAGATAAAATCACGTCAGGTCAGCTATTTTTACTTAGCTGGCAGAAAATAAAACCAGATAGCTCTGCAATTAAAAATTTTGATGTAGCTGACGATATTGTCTACAGAGAGCAGCACTAGCGATATCTTATAAAGTAGAAAACTATTGTTTTATTTATTTTACTTCGGGCAGCTGTCCATAGATGGCAGCACTAAAATTCTAAACAGTTCCGTTACATAATTGTCTCAAATATTTTCAATATGTAGAAGCAGCAATAACTTAGGTATTTTGTTGAGACTAGAAACTATAATAAATAAATATGTATTTAAAAGTAAATAAACTTATGTTAGTTTAAAATATTCTGCTTTTAGATGATAAAAATTAAGATAAATGATCACCAATGTTTTGTGGAGGTAAGCGCGGTAAAGAAGTGCGCATACGAATATGCCTTTTCACACTTTTCCCCCTCTCTATATTGAGTAGTCAGAGTCATGCGTTGTACTCATTAAAATGGAAATTATTTATGCGATTTTCAATTCAAGTGTTTGGAAAAACATTTTTAGAGATTGTTATTACAGCAATTTCGAAATCAATTTTTCAAGTTTCCATTCGTCATTGTGAGTACATCCCCTTCAGCCCTGTTTGCAAAGGAAAGGAATCCTTTCAAGCCGTTTTTTCGGTTTAATCTTTTCCAGGGGGTTCAAGAAATATCAGTAAATTATGAAGGTTTAATATTTACTCTTTAATATGGAGTAGGAAGTGTAAGACCCTGCTGATTTTTTTCCCCCCTCCTTCCTGTTAACATAGCTGGCTAAATGGCCTTAATACATAAAAAATTGGCCTCTATAGGCCGCAGGAAAAGGTTAAAGCCAAAAACAGTTTTTAGTAAGTTAATTAAATTTCATCAGGGAGAAAACATATATCAGGCATGGCCAAACTGCGGGTTTCCGACATCCTAACTGCGATTCGCGAGCTACTTGCTGCCCTTTCCTTTGTGAAATGCGACTTGGATGCCACAAGCAGTAGTTTAACTTTTGAAATATAATCGCATTTTGAAATGAAAATCATGTAATAACACGCTTTTTTATTAGTCACTAATTTAATTTATTAAATTATGTATGTAATAATACATTCAATTTGAAAATGTCCGCCGCAGGCTTATAGCCAGAGTAACAAACAAAATTGCCAATTTCTATTTCAGTCAATTATTATCACGACTATGTTACTTTTAGAGCGGATAATGGCCATCGGAATAACACAGAACGTACAAATACGAGATAATTTTAAAAGTAATCCTCTCTAATTTTTTTCTCTCGGGTTAATTTTATTTCAGGTAGCTACTGCTTACATTCCTTTTATGTGATCCGCTTGCTTCACAGCAGCTGTGATCCACTGAGTTGGAAGGTTTGTTGATCGTTGTAGAGTTGTAGATAGTGAGTGGAAGATTGGAGTCGTATGTTGACTTAACATAATTGTAATTCTTTGTTCCTTGGAAAAGGGTACTTAACATAATGATTTTATTAACATCAACTCTTATGAAAAGAGGTGTTAAGCACATTTGGACTCAAAATTACTTACGTTATCGCTGCAGTGAGCCAGAGGGGTGACTAGCTTTTATCTTAAGTGGTCCAACGATTTCTCTCCATCGGCTCTTCCCTAGATCCCCGAATCGCTTGCGATGTCATTGACCAAGGAGGATGATTCCTTTCTCGTGTTGTTTACATCAAAAGATCACTGATCAAGGAAACTTCGCCTTTTAAATCTAATCAAAATTTATAATTTCTACTCATTGAAAATTGTACTGATTCTATTCGACCATAAAATTCTAAATAAAAGATTAAGAGTCACTATGATTTTACGCGTGTTTTTACACGTATTTTGCCTTCAGAAGGCACTAAATTTTTAAATAATATTGACATTTCAATTTGGAATTACATTTGCCCTGCTTAGGAAACTCTTCTTTTGATGTAAATTTTTAAAGTTTGATATTGTGGAGATAAAGATTTTATGCTTAAGTGCCTTGTAAATAAATCCTTCCTTGATCTTTGAAGTCGGTGTTCGCACATGAGTCTGAGTTTCAGCCGGTGTGGCTGGAATGAGTCTGTAGGATGTTGAGATAATACCTGAGTTGAAATAATACCTGAGTTGAAATAATACCTGAGTTGAGATAATACCTGAGTTTAAACATACAACTGCTTCCGTAAACTATATTTTATTAACCTCTGTAAATATTCGTGTACATACAAGTCGTGCAAATAGGCAATAAAAATGTTTCAAATAGATTTATTTTGGAAATGATATCTCTGGCATCCTGTCAAGCATGACGCAATACAGGATAATAAGAAAAACAATTTCATGATTAATTATTTTGTTAGAAAGTAATGCATATTTGATTTAAATTTAAAAACAATTTAATAAACAATAGGCAGAAACAAATAAAATTTGACCGCCAAACGCCCAATAAATGAGTATAATTCACTAGAAAAACAAATTTTATACTGCAAAAAGCTTTTGCGACAATTGCTTGTATGCTTATTAATTATTTTAACTTCTGAACTTAATGTGTATAAAAAAAGAATAACTCATATATTATATATGTATGTGCAATATATTTAGAGAAAAATAAAAAATAAGAAAACCAAGGTTCAAATCAGGATCGTTTATAGAACCGGGCTTCAGTAATTTGTATCGGCTCTCCTTCTCTCTCTACGACACTGCTTAAAGGATAATAAAGCTCTGGATTTCAACTTAAGGAAATAACCAGTTATCGAGCTCGGATAATCGGGGTTATTGAATTACAGGCTTTACTGTAAAATAATGTGACGCAATGATGTTCGTTGAAATCAAGGATAGTAATAAGGTGGATGATAGCCAGGAGTTTGATGCCTGGGTTTGATTTCGATTCTGAGACCGTTCAGAGGTCGTAGCACTATTTCATCTACCAGCTGTATCTTGTCCCTAGGATCTAAGGAGCGTAATCTGTACCTCCTCAGGATGAAAGAAAGCACTGTTTTCACTTCCATCAAAGCGAATCGCTGACCTGAAAGACATCTTTGATCAGATTTCCAGTAAAGAGAATTACTGTAAAAAACAGCGGACAGAAGGACAACTTGCAATATGAAAATTTCAGATTTTCAAACACCTCAAGAATTTAAAATTAGAAATTTAAAATGAAATTGAAAAACACGGGAAATCTAGAAATACATAGCTTTCATCTTAAACAAAAGCAATACCTACCGTTGCCAAATGGTAAAACTAAACCATCAGTATCGAATAAAATTAAAACTCAGTTCAACAAGAATTTCAATTTAAAAGCTCCGATGTTTGACCAATGTTATTGTTTCTGCCTTTCTTATTTTATTTATATATATATTAAATTTAAATAATTATTTAAAGAGCCATAAAATAGGAACAAAATATTTTAGCTAATACCTACTACAAAAAGCTTAATGCAGTTCTAACTGTTTTCTTAATCTAATATTACGGTTAAAATGTTTCTTAAACTTTCTAGGATAAGGCATCTTAACTGAAATTAAGAAAATTGTAATTATAGAATACAGGTATATTGGATTTTGAACAAAAATTATAAAAAAATATGTAAAGTAGTTTGTAATCTATACGCTATTTCGAAACTTCATTATAACAGTTTTGTAGACAATGGTGTATACAAGGTTAAGAACTAGAATTTTTTGGTCCATTTACTATAGCGTGATAAAAACCTATTTTATTTATGAAAATCGTGATATAAATTAACAGTTATTGCAAAAATATTGTTACATGACGTTTAAATTAAATATATTTTTAAATGAACAACTTCGTCACAGAGGACATATTTTTACATTATCGAAGATTAAGGAAGGATCTTAGCTATAGCCGATTCTCAAGGCATATATAAGGTACGATTCTAAGGTATGATTCTATAGAAAATTAAAACAATAACACTTCATCGAGGTATTAGTATGGATTATAAGCATGTCGATCAGAGTTATCATACGCCTTATATCTCGAAACCTCTTATATATAATGCTAATATGTTCGATATTTTGCTTTTCATTATTTTAATATAAAATTATGTAATAAAATTTTAAGATATGTTTTAACATTATTATTTTTATTTTAGTTCTTTTCTGTTTCTCCTATTTCTTCCGTCAGCAGTCGCTAGAATGTAAAAAGGGATGAGGCTGAACAGAGACCAAATCTGTAGTTTAGAGAGACAGAGAGCTTTAGAAATCCGCCGGTTAAGCTCTTTGCTCTGAGACTCTGGCTGTCTAATAATCATCGCGCGTATTTAGTTAAAATTTGTGGGTTTGTTAGCATTAAGGCATGAATCTAAATTAGCTTGAGTTATTAAATGAAATGTAGTTGGAAGTTAGTCTAAGTATTGTAATTATTTAAATATCAGAATTATGAGAACCCCGCATATAGCGGTGGCTAATATTTGTTAATTTTTAGTTGTAAGGTGAAAATTTCACTAAACGTTTGAGGTAAGTTTTAACTTTTCTCTGAATTCCTGAAGTTTAGAATTCTAATAAGAGCGATGATGAAAATTTGTGAAAGCAAGAAAAAGTTAAGCGGGTGTAGTTAAATAGCTAATTAAGTTTACAAATTAATAAATTGAAATAAAATTCAATAAAATTTTGTTTCTTAAAATTATATTAAAGTTTCTATAGAAGCAGCAGAATTGAAAATCTGCAGGAAAAATGCCTCAATTTCTTAAATTCTGGGTCATCACTTTTGCAATTTAAGACATTTTTTGCACACTTCATAGTCAATTCATTAAATAAGAATTTACCATTAGAATTTCAAAAAATAAAAATATTAAAAAAATTAGGAGAAATATAAAACAATTAAGGATATCGCACATTATGTCTACTCTGTTAAAGCGGGTTTGTTTTCGTGTTGATAGACTCTTATTCTTTTAGTTTCTGTCTTAATGAATATTTATTGTATTTTGATGCAGACGATAGTGTACAGAAGAAGTAGAGATAGTAATATCGAAATAAACCTACATTATATGTTATTAAATCGTGTTTCCTTTCTAACTTATGGTATAAAATAACATTTGTGGTAAAATGGTGTTAATGAATATAGATAAAATATTCTTTTATATGATTAATTTTAGCGCTGGATTGAAATAGCGCTTTTATGATATCCAATAGAAATGAGAACTTTTGCATGTCACGAATTGGCAACGTTATCTATGAGCATTTAAGACTGACGTGATCTTATCGTAATTGAAAACAATAACAGTTCTTCAGTGGGTTAATAAGTATTAGCGCAGTAAAAGCATAACAATACCTGAATCAGTGCAATAAAAGCACATTAATATTAAATATAATACAGTAAAGTTTTCGCGGCCCCGTTGGAAGACAACAGTGATGCCGAATCTGACGAGAGGAGGAAATTAACAACTTAACAAACAAGATCTTTTATTATCAAATTCTTCGCTAATTATGTACTTCTATAAGTTATGCCAGTATTTATTTTATGCCGGTGTTGATGTCAATCCTATGCCTGTGTCGATGGTACGCTGGTATCGATCCTACTCCATACCGGCGAAAAATAAGCTTCGATCCTCTTAATCAGTACTAAATCTTTATCAAAGATTTGTTTTCATATTGCGAATCATATGCTGATCACTAGCGTCGGTGGTATTCTGGTCGATAGTGTGCAGTATCGATCTTAAAAATCAAAACCTTTACATGAGTTAACTATCCAAATTTAACTGTATATTACATGGCACGAGTAGGTAGGTCAAGTTTATGGCCTGCACACCACGGATGCTTATTTGAAATGGTCGAGATACAGCATCAAAGATATCTGGAATACTTTCACTCTTCGCAGAAGAGCTTTTAACGCTAAAGTCTTTCAAAATGCAAAGAGCTTGTCTATGCCGTGAACATGAATTCAACCTCGGAGTTTGCTTTTAAGCTTAGAAAGTTTATTTTTAAGCTTAGAAATGTCTTATTGCTTCATTATACGAAGTAAAGAGAGTATTGTAACCAGAAAAAAATTTGAATATTATACATCAACGGAAATATGCATTTTGGCCGTTCATGAATCCATTTAGACGACTTTTTGCTTGACTTTTACGGACACAATAAGGGACTCCTTTTTTCCAAAACGGATTGCAAAATAGATTTAAAATGGATTATTTCGTAAGGTTCTACGTACTCATGAATGTACGTATGCGTATGTATCTCACAGAACTCAAAAACATACCACATTGATTTTTGGATGTCGACTTCCTGTAACATGTACCTGTGCATCCCCCTTTTTTATTGCATTTAGCTGAACCTAGCATATATATATACACACACACACATTCTTAGACAAAAACAAACAACAACAACAACAACAAAAAAAAAAAAAAAAAAAAAAAAAAAAAAGACGCACCGAGAAGATATAAAGCAAATTGGACACAAATTGATATGCATACAAGTTTCGACGGAAAATGCAAAATTTTACATTTTGGCCGCCAATGAATGAACAGTTGTCGCTCCAGGGCATCTGATCCGTGCAACTGGCAGGATTTTTAAGAGGAGAAATTACGATTGCAGGTCATAAATTCTTCACGAATTTCATTCCGTGTACTCTGGTAGACAGTAACTATGTTTCGCATACAGGTGCGCTAACCATATGCGCAGATGTCAGAATTTGAGAGAGCTCGTGTAGTGGGCTCAAAGAAGCCGGTTGGTCTTATCAGCGAATAGCTCGACATTTGAGCAGGAGCGATGCCACTATTAGACGATGTTGGCAGGAATGGGTGAACTATGGTCGCACACAGCTTCAAAAAGGAAGCGGTAGGCCTAGAGAAACGACAGAACGTGAAGACCCAAGCAATCGTCAGAGCGGCACTCACAGCCCCAGATGCATCATTATCATCGATTGTACCAGCAACTAGCGTTTCATTGACCGCAAACACCATTTATAGACGGCTCACAGAAAGAAGGCTGAGGTCACGGCGCCACTTTGCTCCGACTACCATTGACCTCTGTACAACCTCAAGCCCGTTTGCAGTGGTGTCGGGCTCATTCGCACTGGAATGTCACTGCCTGGAGTAGAATAGTGATGAGTCCCGCTTGAACTGAGCCCCGATGACTAGCGGAGGCGAGTCTGGAGACGCCTCGGACAGCGGTGTGATACCAACCTGACTCTCTTCCGGCAGGCAGACAGACAAACAGGAGTGATGGTCTGGGGTGCCATTTCATTTCATAGTAGGACCCTTGGTTGTCATCCGTCGCAACCTTACAGCATAGCGGTACGTCGACGAATATCTAAGGCCCGTTGTGTTGCCCTTCATGTCACGCAATCCTGAGCTTACATTTCAGCAAGATAATGCCCGCCCCCACACTGCACATGTTTCTACTGCTTGCCGAACATTACCTTGGCCAGCAAGATAGATGGATTTCTCTCCTATTGAGTACGTTTGGAGCATTATGGGCAGGGCACTCCAACCAGCTCGGGATGTTGACGATCTAACTCGCCAGTTGGACAGAATTTAACACGATATCCCTCAGGATGGCATCCGCAATTTCTATCAATCGATGCCAAGCCGAATAACTGCTTGCATAAGGGCCAGAGGTGGACAAACTTGTTACTGACTTTTTCACTTTGTGAAGCTCTATCACTTCAATAAATCATCCAATTTTTCTCAAACTGTAATCATTTGTTTTTCTGTACATGTACATCATTTCTACCGAGTTTCTTCCCATTCGGATAGCTCGCTCTTGGTGCGTCGTTTTTTTTTTTTTTTTTTTTTTTTTGTCTTTTTTTTTTGTCTAAGAGTGTATATGCAAGGTTTCCCGAATATTCTGTCCATTTGGGAAGCGAAAGAAAATAATAAATTTTATATACCTTTAATACTATTTATTCTGAAATATAATTTACGTCGCTACTTATGATTTCTTATCAGCGTGATGGTAATTTCTAAATACTATTTTTGAAAAATGTCTTGTCCTTAGAGGCAAAATACTCAAATAGTGCTTGGCTGACATCTGCTTCAGTTTTGAATTTTCTCGCCTTCAAAATTTTTGCAAGGAAAGAAACAAGTAATAATTGGAGGGTGCTACGTCTGGGGAATATGGTGAATGTAGCAAAATTTCCCAGACTAACTCAACGATTTTCGGATGACTTGTCAAAGCAATATGTGGTCTGGCATTATTATGATGCAGGATGATGTGCTTCCTATTGAACATCGCCGTCCTCTTTTCTTTCACTTAAATTATCCATTTGCTGACAGTGAGGACTAATAGTATGCTCTTTTTTTTGAAGATGTTTTCATAGGTAATGCATTTTTCATTACCAATTACCATCCTGTCCAAGGCGTTCGCTTTTGTTCTGAGCAAGCACAAATATGCATATGACGAATCGACCATGCAAAGTTTTCTCATCTAACTCATGAGGCATGCATCTGGAATATTTATAGACCAATCCTAGCTCTCCGATTAAGGTCCGAAATGGTTTTATTGACTGAGTTAAGCTTTTCTGCAATCTCCAATGTTGTCAAAAAAGGATCTTGGTCTGACAAGGTCTTGGCAACATCGCCATCGATCAAAGATGGCCGCTCAGAGCGTGGCTTATTATTAAGATCGAAATCACCTGCTCATATTTTTCGAACCATCTTCTGCAATTTCAATTCGAAACTGCATCTCAACCGAAAATTCACTAAATTTCGAAAGGCTTCTGTGGCATTTCTTCCTTATTAGAATGCGTACAAAATATAGTGCCGTAAATGAACTTTATCAGTAGCCATGTTTACACGATCTCATCTCACTTGTTAATGACACAAGACGCTTTTGTTTCAGTTAGTTTAGAAAAGCACGTGTGTATAAATGCAACGATAAAGAGAGATAGCCATATATGTCTCAAATGCACACTTGCATGAGTGTCTCTAGGCTTGAAAAAATAATATTATCGGACAGAATATTCCAGTAAACTTTATATACACCCACCTCCTTATCTGGCTTAAGAGTCCTTACCTGGCTTTCATTTTCGCAATAAACTTCCAATTACATATGTGTTTTAAATGACGAAAATATTCCCGTTTTGGCAATGATAAATTTAAAATAAAATTTAATTTTTGACAAAAAATGAAATTAATTTTAATGCGGTCGCCTTGTTTCTATGCTTATATTTGGGAAAGTTTTATACTCGTCATGAAAAAATAAAATTATAAGAAGTTTGACTTCCGTTCTATAAAAATTAAGCAGGATATTTAATTTCAAAATTTGCAATTTTTTATATCATTTTCAACTTTATGGGATAGGTTAATTACAACTTTATGGGATGGGTTGATTACGTTTGAATACTTAGAGGAACTAAGTTTAAATTAAGTTCAGCAAAAATCTGCATATTTTAATAGGTCATACAAGGAAGTCGTGTGGTGTCCGTATCAGTTTTTTTATTAATATGCAAAATGGAAACATAAAATGTATAAGCACTATTTGCATAAATTTAACACATTTTAAACTGTGCTTACCAATGCAGTTCCTTGGACCGGCAGAAAAAGGCACGTAAGCGAAAGGATTTCTCCCTGCAGTATTTTCTGGCAGGAATCTGTCAGGATCGAATTTTTCCGGATTTGGAAAAACTTCCGGATCCCGATGTAGCAAATAGGATAAAACAACACAGGTGGCTCCACGTGGAATATCCAGATCATCTGAGAAAAAAAAAAAAAGGGCAAAAAACTATAATAGATATATGTGATGTACCAGCTTTTGTCCGGAATAAATAGATTGGTGAAGAATCATAGATGTAGTCGTTGCTTAAATTATCAGACGATAAGTTTAAAAAAACAGGAACCATTTATTATATTTCAGGGGAAATAGCAATTACAAAAATCTGTTCTCCGGAGTAAATAAAAAAAGAACTACTAATAACTTTTTTTATGAAGTTTATTGCATCGTTACATTTAAGAAAAGACCCCGATATTCCTTTGCGAGTCCTTTTATAGCCTCTGGAAAGCGGAGCTTCCAGAAAGATGACGTCAGCCTCGTCAGCCATCCAGTTTCGCTTTAAATATTTCCAGAACCATCTATAACTGTACGTGTATGAAAAGGCGGGAAAAACAACTTGACTGTGGATTTAATTCCACGTACTTTCAAATAAGAGACCGTGGCCATTAAAAAATGAAAAGAACATACAGTTAGAATTTTAAGTGTATTCTTGACTATGGAATTTTATTATTACATATATATATATATAAGTTATGATATATAAGTTAAAGATGAATTCAAAATTCGGACATCGAGGTGACCATATCGTGACGGAAGATTCGGTGTATCCAGAACAGGATGGTCCTAAGTACCGTCATTTTTCTACAATGCAAGAAACATGCATACATACGTACAGATTCTTCATTATTTATTATTTTTTTAAATAATACATTGCTTTAACATTTGATGGCAACAGTCTGAAAAATGATTCTGACTCAAAAGTGAATTGGACAAAAAGTGAAGCACCTCTAGTGCTAAAAATATAACTACGCGCAGGGCTTAATTTCTAAAATTAGAAGTATTGGAAGCCTACCAAGAAAGAAGAACAAAAGTAAATACATAAATAAATAAATTAGTAAAATAATTAACAATTAAATAATTAATGATTAGAATAATTAACAATTAATATTAAACGTTAATGATATGTAAAGGTATAAATAAAAATATAATAAGTCATTAAATAAAAGGTAAATAACTAAATATTAAAATAAAATACCGGACCTTGACTTGGCTTTCAGCTGAAATAACAATTTCACACAAAAAATAAGAAATATCTCAACCAGTCTCCGGTTCACGATCTCCTTCCTCTCGCTATAATTCTAGCTGTCAAGCAGAATGTGACAGGGGAGGGGGAGAAATTCACCTAACCTAAGGATTAGCTGAAAAAAGTGACAAACGGCAATTTTCATCCCTCGTCTTTGGTTACATCGTTCCAAAGAGTGTGCATGAGCTCTTTTCCGCGGGAAGACACTAGCGTTGGAACGAGAAATTTACCCACTGTCATAAACTCATTGTACTTTCTGCGGAATAAGCCCTTAACATGTGGGTTGGGGCTTTTCTTTCCTTAAAAGTCTCGACCTCCATCCAAGGGTTTGTTTCCCAAGAAAAGAGAAGTATGCATTCAGAAGCCAGAATCAGTTTTTAATATAATTTTATTATTAAAAATAACATTTTCGAGATAAGATTTCTGCTGAAACTATTGCTCAATTAATTAGAGAAGTGTCGGAGCCTTCTTATTTAGGGCTCCGGTGGGTTCCGGCACCATTTAAGCTCTGATTACATGTGATGAGCATGACGCGGCTACGTAAGGTGCGTTAAATGAAAATGAGAAAAATCAGTTGACGCAACTATTAGAACTCTTACGAATACACAGACGCTATATATAAATGATAATTAAAATAGGTTTGGAATATACTTCTAAACAAGTAAAAGCAATTTCATTTAGAAGAAACCAATGTGTCTTAAAATGTTAAATTTTCAAATTAAATGTTATTTTCAAATATTTCGCTTGGTCATACCAAAACACTAAGGAAAAAGAAAAAAACTTTGAGCTGTGTGATGGGTGCTACTTACGAAATTTCATATCTTCTCTTATTTCACGTGCAAATGCCGCAACTGAAGGATACAGTCTTAGAGTTTCCTTCAAAAATAAAACAAAGCATAATGAAATGAAGCACATATACATAACTATATAAATATTATTTTACAGCTAAAATATATATACAGACTCCTCTCTTGCGTGCATAAGATTTAGTTCGCCCAGTTAGGAATTGCAAATTAAATGGTTCGAAACCTGGCGAGGGCACAGTGGAATTTTCCTATTTCTTGCTTAGAAAATCTAGTATTTCTACATATAAAAGAAATATACATTTATCGTTACACTACTTCACCATTTTTGACCGCGGGTCAAGGAAAAAAAAAAAAAAAAAAGTAAAGTAAATCTGAAAGGTTTCACATTTTACATTACGTCCAAAGGGGCATTTTTTTAAACATTTTGTATGTTACCTTTATTTATTAAATATCACGTTCTTCGAACTTAATCATAAAATTCATTTCAAGAGCAATATCGCAAAATAATTTTAAATCGAGCATATATTTAGAATTTCCGATACAGAGTCTCGCGCGCTGGAGATAAAAATACATTTTCTGTACAACGTTGCCATTGTTCGCTTTGAAATCCTTGAGTTGTTAATCAAAAATTCGTTTACAAAATAGGAAATCGATAATAAAACAAATTCCAAATTTCAAATTTGGGCTTCCGCATACCCATATTATCAGTAGGATTACGTCATTCAAAATTCGATGGCTCTATGTATAGTTGTTTTATCACAGTGCGAGATACATTTATGCAGATTTTTCATTATTTAATTTATTCAAGTATAATACAGGACTCTAACATTTGGTGGCAACAGTTTAAAGCGGACATTTATAATGAACCAACGCAAAATCGCAAAACGAAAACAATAGTCCTTCAGGGACAAAGCCGCTTTGAACTAAAAAATATCTGAAACCTTTCAGATTTTATATTACGCCCAAAGGGGCGTTATTTTAACGTTTTGTGTGTTACCTTCAATTATTAAATATAATGTTCTTCGCACTGAAACCATCAACTTCAATTCATTGCTATATCACAAGAAACCTCGCTCATAAAATATCCGTTCTTGAAGATGCACGTAATGCTAATGTTAATGGAACGCTTTGAAGTCGCTGAGTTTGTTAATCAAAAATTCAATTAAGAAATAGTATGAAAGAAATAATGAAAAAAATTCGAAATTCAAAACTTTGGCTTCCAGGTGCCCATGTTCGGATGGAGGATTACATTTTAGTACTTTATATACTTTCATTATATACTTTCTGAGAGTAGAGAACGTTTCTTATGTCACTATCATTCTGTGTTATATTTTATGTAAATGAAAAAACTAAAAATGAGTAAATAAAATAATAATAATCAGAATTTTACTTTCCCGGAATAAATGACAAGTGATTCGAATATTTAGAGTTCCGGATAACTAGAATTTTTCGAAGATGTCAAATTCTCTCTTTCCCTGAAATTCTGAACTTTTAATTCCGCACTATTTAGTAAAAATCGAGAAGGCAAACTGAAACGCTTTTGTATCTTTTCCTTTAATCTTGTTCCCGTACCGTAATCTTTTATTACGTGGTCCTTTTTAAAGTAATGATACATTTATAAGAAACTACGTTGCTTTGTTTTTTTCCCTCACTGCAACGTTTATTAATATTTCAGCTATGGAAAATTTTCATTTTGCGGCAATTTCGAAATCAGAACTTGAAATCTTTACTAATTATTTCAAATTTATTGCCATTAATATAATCAATTTTTTTTTCTTTTCAAGTATTCGAAAATTTCTTTCACATGCTCAAAAAAGAGAAAGAAAGACCTTTCTTCGGAATAGAAATTTGCTATGGGATTAGTACGCTATAACTGCACCATACGTTCAAAGTGAAACATTGTTAATTAAATTTGGCCAAGATGCAAAGACCAAGCAATGAAGACGGCGGAGTTCAACAGAACAGTCGATATACCGAAACCTCAGCTAACCATTCGAACTGTCATCAGTGCAAAAGTTATATAGTAAAAATTGATTCAAATTTATGTAATAAAACTCGGATTTACACAGTAAAAATTGTAATTCTTACTTTGATGACACATTCCAAGTATTTGAGATTCTTCAGGTCTTCCACAGTTACATCCCGGTCACTTTCACCAAACACTGAATCTAATTCTTCGTGGATTCTATCTTGAACCCACGGATGCAGGCCAATCATGTATACGGACCAGCTTAAAGCCAATGAAGTGGTGTCGTGGCCCTGAAGTACGAGAATCAAATATTAACACTTGAAAGAATATTTGATATATTAAAAATAGCTATACAGTACTTAATGCATTGGATAACGTAAAGTTTTATTGATCAATCTACTGAGGATAATGCTAACTCAGAAAGAATGAGAGATTTTAGCTAACTCAGAACTGAAAAAGTTTGTCAGTTGCATGATCTTAAATTCACTTAGTGCGAAATCGAGTTATTCTACTACTTGCGCAATAGCTGCAAAGTAAGTTAATAATAATTTATTTACTAAAGAAATATTGATTATATTATCTCCTAAGATTAATTTTAGTAGAATTATCTAAAAAGAGCGAATCCATAATTAGTAAGTTTAATTCCGAAAATTGTTTTAAAGTAACTTGAATGTAAATTGTTAAAAATGTTTAACGGGGACTTGAATTAAATCATTGATAACAAAATTTCAACTGTAAAGAGAAATTAAATTAAAAGCAAGTAATTAAATTAAAAGCAAGTAATCGTTGCCATTGATCGGAAATTAGTTGTCTTTTCAAGGGGAACAAATCAACTCCCGTTCAATGAACAATAATTAAGAAATAAATACGAAGGTGTTTCGTTTTTTACTCAGTAATAAGGCGATGCCAAACTGGCAATTTAAGTTAGGCCAAATATTTCTGTGAATTGAAGGGATCAAGAACCAATGCAGAGCACTAAAGAACTCACTCTGATTAAGCATTTTCGCTAATTCAATTTTGAGTGAAAAGCAATTTATGCAGTAAAATTGATAAATTACTTGAGTAATTGTCCCCCGACAACCCTCGTGTTTATGCATTTTATTCAAACTATTTGTAAAAAATTAAACATTGGAATTGGCATTATGAATAGAACTCAAAGTAATCGAAATAAACATTAGAAAATTACAAAATATAAAAAATATAATGCAATCTTTCAAAATAAATCAAAAAATAAAATTTAAATTTAAATATATAAAAGAAAAGGGAATGTAAACGGCCAGAAAAAGCATTATTTAACTTACATTCTTTCTAGTGGGAAGTGGGCAAAGTGTTCTCTTCGCGTCTTACTCAGAAGGGTTGTGTTTCCGAAATTCTTTATCGGCAGCGGGGGCTTTGAATTATATCAGTCGGCGAAACTTGTGTGAAGTAATTTATGGGAGAGGGAGTGACTAGGAATGCTTGAGAGACGTATGTTGTGGAGTTCTTATTTGAGTGAAACCGTCTGTTAAAAGTTTTTTGAATATACTAGTGAATGGAAATTAATTAATTTCTGGCTAATTGGTCGTGTCGTAACGAGGAAGAAATTAAGAAAAGGAAAAAAGGAATTTTCACTGTCAAAGAGCTATTTGACAGACTAAAGATTATGAAATAGGCCCATTTTTTTAGTAACAGCATAAGTCTGAGGACAATTAGCTTTTTACATTATAATCAGCTTTTAATTACACTATGTACAAATCCTTCAACATGTGATAATTTAATGCGTAATAGGCATTAGACACTTTAACAGCTTGCAGTCTTAGATGGCTGAGTGGAAAGACGAAAAGGTGACGCTGACAAAAATGAATTTTGAAGAAGTCCCGATCTTTATTTTCACGCATATAAAACCATCTTAGTAGATATTTATCCAATCATAATGAAATACGATAATTTTTATATACACTGGTTTTTTAAAATTAAGACGTAAGCATTTAAGCAAGGTAAAGCAACACGGTGTTGATAGAACAGAGAAGTTAGGCTTACAAGTAGAATGGCCTAGTTATTGGGCCAAGAGGTATTTATACTAAGTCTGATGCATAAGAATAGCTAATCTGTGATTGGTTAATATTAGGTTGTTATGTAACATGGAAGGATCTCGAATTTGGGAGAACAGATGAATTTAGGGGGAGAGCGCCAAATCTAGAATAGTTAATTTTGAGGTCGCTAATTATTCTTAAAGCAGCCATCGTATTTTGTCATAGTTTACATATATACACCATTTTAATGAATCTAGCTAATTTCATTTCACGGGTCCCTTTAGTGATTAATAAACTGACATGACTGGGCATTTATTGCTTTTAAATCGCTTAGTATGTTTATTAATAATAGAATAAATTCGAAAGGAGTATTATATATCTAACACTTTCCTGAATGTCAACATACTGCCACTGGGAAAATAAAAGTAGTTTAATACGGGCAGTGGCAATATATTTCTTTTAAATCTCTGATTAAATCTCTGATTTGAATCTGTCGATTAAATTCGAAAGACAAATATATTGCGAGTAGCAAGTTTTCTGATTAGTTTTTAAAATAAATATCTTTGTATTGTGGCATCACAAAGCTTCAGTGATGACATGTGATACACTGTACCTATCGCGCTATTTTTATAGATGCTGGAATTAAAGTTTTATATATTAAAAATATACATAGAGTTTTAATGGCCATTCTGATATTTTTGGCTATTTATTTATGTAGTGGAAGGGGAGGGTAATACAGGGACCGCCCAAGGCAGTAAATTTATGGATCGCCCCAGAATGTAAACCTCTGGCTACGCAAATGCCATAAAGCAAACTTCTATGAATAAGTCAAAAATTCTCATAATCCGATGACTAAATAATGAGTTATTGCAAACAAAACAAAACAAAAAGGGTCTTCCTTCGAATTATCCAGTTAATGAAATTCCAAAAATCGAAGTTATTTAATGATTTGAAAGTGATAAAAATTAACCTGTCGCGGTGGATGAATTATGTTAAGTGTTGAATTAGTCATTCAAAGGACGTTGAATCCACAAATACCAACAGAAATAAAAGTGACGAAAAAGATAATTCAACCAAGATTACTTGGTGTAAGACTAATGAAGCGTTAAATACATTCACGAAATTCGTCGAAAAATTTGAACACTGAAGAAATAATAAATTTTCGTATTTTCCTTTTTACCCCAAAGGAGCGTTAACGAAGGGCTATTAATTTCGTTTTGGCATTTTACGTCGATTCACTTTCTGCGTTGTTTAACTTTTTAAACTGTTGCCACCAAATATTATCGCTCTATGCTATATTTAAAGAAATTAAATAATGAAGAATCTGCATAATGGTATGTACGTTTCTCGCATTGTGATAAAACAACGGTACTTGGAGCCGCCATCAAATTTTAAATAACGCAATCCTCCTCCGAATATGGGCATCTTGAAGCCCAAATTTGGAATTTGAAAATCGTTTTATTATCTATTTCCTATTTTGTAAAGCATTTATGTGTTTTTGATTAAGAAACTCAAGGATTTCAAAACGAGCAATGGCAACACTGAATGGGTGGAAAAAACATTTTTATATCCAGCGCGCAGACTGTGTAGCAGGAAATTCTAAAGATATGCTCATTTTAAAATTATTTTGCGATATTGCAGTTGAATTGAATTTATGGTTTAAGTGCGAAGAACATGGTATTTAATAAATAAAGGTAACACAGAAAACGTTAAAAGAATGGCCTTTTAGGCGTAATGTAAAATCTGAAAGCTTTCAGACTTTTTTTTAAAGAGCGGAATTTATGAAAAAAGTAGACATTCGAACTTCACTAGCAATTAATGAATTCGAAGAAAATTAATGATTCAAAGCAAAAAATGATCAAATACAATAGAACTGTGACAAAATTTATCTGCTAATAAGTTTCACTTGCTAAATATGTTTGGAGAATTATTGTATGCAATATTGTTGTGGCATTACATAATTTTAGCTCAATAATCCGGCATGCCTAGAGTCGCATTTATGCCAAATTATCAGATTTTCTTTGCATACAGGTATAATTATAGCCATGTTACAATGTTTGCGTTGCTACAGGATTTTAGTATTTTGATTGAAAATTTTTGTTTTTGATACCAGGGAATTAACCAACGGAAAAAAAAAAAAAAAAAAAAAAAAAAAAAAAAAAACCTATCGAATTGGGAAATTCAGAAAATACACCATTTTACATAAATTCGATGCAGAACGAGAAGAATTATTCAGTTTTTGGAAAACTTATGTCCAAACACAAGGGCTGTTTTTCAGTTAATTCTGTTTTTATGCATGTTGTAAGTTATTTCAGATACTGTAGAGATTCACCATGAAAATCTTCATTTCTATTACTATAATGCGAAACACCGTAGTTCTTCTGGTGAGCACTGAACTGTGGATCCTTGGATTTGCAGGCGAGTACTTTGGCACCCGAACAAGGAGGATGCGTTTAATAATTCATTTGTTAATGTACTCGTCTACGAGCTCAAAGGTTCTCTCTGTTTGTTGCTCTGGTTTTTTGCGATAGATCGCCTCACCATAGAATCGCTACTCTGTTTTAATGATAACTGCTAATAATTTTAAAACGAATAACATTTATTTCTTCGAAATAAATAAAAGATTAAATTTTAAAAAGTATAAAACAATTCAGAATTTTCTGTCATTTCCCCCCGAAATTATTTGCGCTAAAACATCGCGGTTCGATTGTGGGGCTGGTGTTAATGTTGTCAAACATAAGAATTTATAAATTCAGATTACATATTAAGTTATTTGATGAATAATTAAAGACATTCGTAGCTAGTCAAGAACTCGATTTCCAGGTATTGGAATAAAGTGACTGCATGGGATGTTATGAATTTTACCGTGTGTAACGTAAATAACCCGGTCAGTCTCCATGATGTTATTCATGCAAAAGTGCTTTGGTATAACAATGTTACGAATTTTGTACGTATGTAAATAGGTTTAGTGAAATTATATGTGAAATTGTATTATTTTTTGTATTATGTAACATTTTTTATAGTGCAATTTTTGTATAACTGTGTAAACGCATGAAAGAGATGAGGCTTTGCCGGAAAAATAAGATTACAGGGAACATGCCTATTAAACATTCAATAAACGGCAAGGAGGTTAGAATAGAAGGAGGGAGGGTTCGCAGTTTCCTCCACTATCGGGGAATGAAACTCCGCCGAACAAGCGGCGTCCATGTTTGTGACTTCAAAACATTGCATTACGGCAGTGAATGTACGTGTTCTAAGCTGTTCCGTGCATTTATTTTCCAGTAAAATTATGTTAAATTTTATAATGAATCCCCCGCTATTGTTGAATTTTTGTTTTTAAAGTAATAAAGATGATATCCATAATTTTTTACTATGTACAGCAAATTGTTAAGAAATAGTTCGAAATCTAAATGCATGCGCATAACATTAAAGCCTTTAAAAAATGATGTTTCTGCATATTTCACGGATTCGCTTAGGTTAGAAAATAAATCTTGATAAAATAAACAGAATTCATTGATTTCAGTTTATGCGCGCATTTCATATTTATTAATCTCAAAGAAACTGCCTTTAATTAAGTTGAATTACAGAAATAACACCTATATATGTTTTTGGATACATCTTTCCACATGTTCAATTGTGTAAATATTTTACTTAATTTTATCACTATACTGCTCAGAAATTTTTGTATTTTTATACAAAAAATTTTAACAACAGAACAGTTTATCTTAACTTTAAAAAATGAATAATAATTAATATATAAAAAAAGCAATTGCTTTATTAACACCTTTACAATTAATAAAAATAGTAAACAATTGATTTCTTACTTTCATGAAAGTTATAAAACGAATTAACTAAAACGTTCAAATTATACAATTTAAATCCTACCATATAGCATTGTATCTTAAGGAACGAAGATACCAGCTATAAACAGAAACATTAAAATGTATTTAATATATTTTGATTATAGTTATATTAAATAACCTATTTTAAGTCCTTTTTTTCACATCTGGAAAGGAAACCACATGATATTGTGATATTTTTTGACATAGTTGTCATATTACATAAAAAAAAAAGAAAATTAATACTTACGTGTGAAAAATAATGCCCCGATTTTTTTTTCGAGAATCTATTTATGTATCCATATGCAATACAAGCTGACATGCTTCAAAAAGAAAAGAAAAAAATGTTGCAATGACAGACTTCCTTGCACAAGTCACGGTGATAACAGGAAGATGGCCGCCAAGCTTCACCGTTTGAGTTGAACCTTCCCTCCTTCTATTCTAACCTCCTTGGTAAACGGCTACCTCGTTAAATTGGCGGGATATCGCGAAGTTGGCGACGGTTTTGGCGACTAATTTTTGACGAAAAGTTTGGGGAGGAATGACCAAAAGTCGCCAAACATGCGACCATTTGATGACATTTCGGTATAGTCCCTATATAACTTACTGATACTCTAATTGAATAAATGTAATTGATCCTTATATCTAACTGTAGCCGTATTCGTATAACCTTATATTTAACTCTAACCGTATATGCCTTCCAGTAATTTTGAGAAATGGAAGGTACTAGAGATTTCTTGGTGGCCGGGTGAAAACTGTATAAGACCGGAGGGAGTATCTGCTGTCAGTTGTTAGTTGTTAGTTGAATCCGGAGTACTGAGATATCCATGAGAGCCTCACCTTTCAGATACGCTTTGCATTGCGTTGTGTTTAAAGTTCTTAGTGGTTTAAAGTGTAGCTACTGATTGTGCTCTGTGATACTGAGAAGAGGTGTACGAGTATTTTTGTGGAAAGTTCCAGAACTGTGATGGGTTTCTTTGGGTAAAATAAATTTTATCAAGCTATCATCGGTTCTGCGTGCATTCAATCTATTAGGAACCCGTACGCACGCAACAATAAATAACCATACAAAACATTAAATATGCCTTTATAGTGCAGCGTCTTTATCTTTACACTATACTACAAATTCCTCATTCTACATCCAGTGAACAAAGGGGCAATCCGTAATTCGATTTCTGACGAGGACACAGCTGAGTTTTCACGTTTCCCGCTCAAAAAAGTAATCATCTCTACAATCTAACGTAGATAAGCTAAACTTATTATTATATCATCCAGTTCCATAACTTACTTCGAATGTAAAAGTATCTACTTCCTCTCTAATTTCTGTTTCAGAAATGGCATTGTTGTTTAGGTGTTCGTCCAGCAACAAATCCAGCAGAGCTCTCTTATTCATTCTGTGATGTTCCTTTCCGTCCTCGTCCAAGACAGTCATTTCGGTTTCTGCATGTTTCTGTATTTTTTCCTTCTTCTTCTCAGCAATCACCTGTTTCAGATTTAAATTTAAAATGTCATACAGTTATTTTATGAAATCTGTGTCACAATAAATTGAGTATATAGCTGAATAACACAAGTTAGCCTAAACGTAACTGCATAAAGTCAACAAAATTTTGAAAAACGTATTTGGATTAAAGAGAATCTCAGACCTATTTTCCACTTATGCACCGAACCTAGCACTTTCACGATGGTACCATTTTTTTTATTTTAAAAAGCTAAATTAGCCCTCAATGATAGGCAACGGTACACATTTTGGGTTGTGTGTCAAAATCAACCAAAATCTCTGTATTAAGAGGGTGTTTCGGATCAGCGGTATTTTCATTTTAAAGCAGTCCCTTTTGGCGAATAATAAAACACGTTTTACTGAGAAAATATTTATAATGCGCCTTAAGCTTTAAAAATTATAATTATAATTATAATTTGTAGAGACATTAGGAATTTTTTTTGGAGGCCGGAGAGATGAAAAATTAACAACGCCTTCGCCGGGAATCGAACCGCGGACCTCTGGAATACAGGCCTACACCACGAAGGACGCTCGGAAAGTGGGAGAAATACCTTCTAAATTAAATAAAAAAGGGCGTTTATTTAACCTTTTGTGTGTTACCTTTATTTATTAAATACCATGTTCTTTGCACTTAAAACCATAAAATTCAGTTCAAGAGCAATATCTAATAATAATTTTAAATTGAGCATATCTTTAGAATACAGTCTCACGCGTGGAGATAAAAATGTTTTTTCTGTACAACGGGGCCATTGCTTCCTTTGAAATCCTTGAGTTTGTTAATCAAAAATTCGTTAAATTTTTACAAAATATGAAATCGATAATAAAACAAATTCCAAATTTCAAATTTGGGCTTCCACATGTCTTATTCGCAGTAGGATTACGTCATTCAAAATTCGATGGCTTTAGGTACCATTGTTTTATCACAATGCGAAAAACATAGATACATTTATGCAGATTCTTCATTATTTAATTTCTTCTAATATAATACAGGGCAATAATATTTGGTGGCAACAGTATGAAAAGTGAAACCGACATTCAGAGTAATTCGACGAAAAATCGCAAAACGGAAACAATAGTCCCTCAGGGATAAAGCCCCTTTCGACTAATAATTATAATTATTATCAAAACAAAAATAACTGAATTAACCTTATTTTTCACTTTGATATGAATTGCTCCTTGATTATGAACTTGATTTTGATTTTAAAAACCGAAGCAATCAGAGTGAGTTACAAAAAAAGGTCTGCGTTCCTAGGGATTTATGGCTTTTCTTATATGTAACGTAAAATTGAGTCAGCTTCCCTTAGAAAATTATCTATGAAGGCACTTTTCTTTTATGAAAGATAGCCTCCGTTTACCTTAAATAATCAACCTATTAACCATTTTAAAATTTCTGAAAAAATGGCATTACTTACCGCATTGGTGAAATCTTGCAAGATTTTAAGATTCTTTTTAAACTTCCTACCAAGAGAACTAATTCTGAATAAAAAGTTAGGCCACAGCCATGGGCTCTGCATTCTTTCAAATACCTCATTAGTCAGGCTGAAACAAAATTATTTTTCTTCACTGCTTAAAATACCGCACAATATATACTGCGAAAAAAAAATGTGGGGACAGTTATATATTTTCTGTTTTACTGGGCGCGATTGACAAAATTCAAATCGCATTTTCCATGGCTCGAAAGCGTGACTTAGGATATATATTAGATATATATATATATAACATTGTTCTAAAATAGGTATTTTGACACAAAATCAGACTTTTTCTGAAATAACATACCAATTTTTTTCCATATTTCGATTCTACGATTCAAAATATGCCTAAAAATTAAATTTTGTAAAATTTGGTGCGAAATTTATGGAGAAATTCAAAAATTTATCTTGGCATATTTTTTTCATTTTGCACCAAGAATAATTCATTTGATGAACTTCTTAATATATGACAAACCATTTTCCTTTCCCTTCCATTGTGCAGGCCCGGAAAAAGTCACATCCATCCTAGCTTTTTATATTGTGCACGAGCGGAATAAAAGTCACATCGCTCCTCCTTTCAAATAATTTGAACAAAGTGCCTAAACCACATTTGATGTTATTATCGCTTTCAACAAATATGCCAAATTTCAAAACACGCCAATATATAAATTCACGTATATCTTCGGAAATTTTGAATAAAAACTTGTAATTTTTTGCAGGTATGCTTATAAATACATCTGCTTTAAGATCATGATAGAAATTTTATCGATTATAACTCAAAATGTTTTTCGAAAACTTTATAAAATTATTAAAAATACAAATTTAAAAAATAAATCATAAAAAATCTGATGTGTACACCACATGACTTCCTTGTACGGAATATTAAATTATACGCATTTTTTCTTGCATTTTATTTAAACTTATTAGATTGAATTAAACCTACTTCGCCGACAGCGCATAAACCACAATAGAATAAATGCATTCTTTAAAATTCACTTTGGCGCTCTGGCGACACTCTGGCGCTAGGTTTACTTAACATTATTATATTTCATTCATATTATAACTCAGAATGCACAAAATTTATATCATTTAAAGAATAGAATTATCTAACCGTTGCCACATGTTCTATTCAAATACTATAACAAAGCTAGAACTATGTATAAAAGAAATTAAGCAAACAAAACAAAAAAGAAACAGTTTTTCACAGACGATTGAGTATTTCTCACTTAATTAATTCAGTTCTCACTTCGCGAGAAGGCAAAATACATAAAAACTCAAAATATCTATATTAAAAATTACGAAGTAAATCTCAAACGCTTATTTCCTCGAAAAAATTCCAGAAAGGAATTAAGCATGATTTAATTGGCAATAATAAATGAATGCGTTATCTTTGTTGTTGCGAAGCTAAGTTTTCTCTAGATTGGCAACAAATCCACTAGACTCCTGTTTCAAATGTAAACAATCAATGGCCGCCATTAAAAACAGGCTTAGCGGCAATTAAACAACTTTAAAATTGCTGATAATTCTAAAAATATTGCACACAGATTTACTAAAGGCATAAAATCCTTCACCGGAAGATAAAAACAACATATTTCAATCATTTTTAAAGCAAAAAATGTACAATTTACAAACATATAAGAGTAAAGAAACTGAGATCACTGAGCCGGGTAATAAAGTGGATATATATACTATATAAATATATTTATATACGTTTGGTGCGGCCGATTGCAACCAAAATACGAGGTGCACATCTACATGTTATAGCAGTCCTATATACAAAATTTCAACGTTCTGAGGCTACTCGTTTTTGAGTTATGCGAGATACGTACGTACGTACGTACATACGTTCGTACAGACGCCACGAAAAATTCTCTTCAGAATTAATTTTAAAGCAGTTTTATAATTTTTTTGAAGGGAAAGAGTATTTTATTCTGTCCTTACGTACACATATCACGCAAAAGCATCGTTAAATTGCATTCGATAGCGGTCAAAATGGATATTTTCGTTGAAATATGCTGCCTGAAACTTTTCGCGATTACAATACTTCCTTTTTACTTCGTACAAGGAAGTAAAAATGGGCGAATGTAAACTTGGAATGAACCTAAATTTCGAAATGTGAAGGAAGAACCAACTAAGTTTAATAAAAAAAGAGATATTAATAAATATAAACCAAACTCAATTAACATGGAGGAACTAAAACTTTGAGAGCTAATTTTTTAAAAACTACGCTTGCGATGTTTACAAAACTTGGCAGTTTGGCATAATTTGAGTGGTAGAATCGAAATATGGAAAAAATTTGGCATGTCATTGCAGAAAATGTCCGATTTTGTGTCAAAATACCTATATTGGAACAATGCTATATCTAAATCTAATACATATCCTAAGTCGCACTTTCGAGACATGAAAAAAAACAAGTTGAATTTCGTCAATCGGTCCAGTAGAACGATAGATATAGAACTGTTCCTTTTTTTTGCGCAGTGTACAATACCTTGAAGAAGAGTTTAGATTAAAAAAATTTAAATTAAAATATATAAGAAAATTTAAAATATAAAGACCACACACATATATATATACTATATCACTACTCTTCCTTTTAATTAGATGTTGCCATATCATGAAACTAAACTTTTTTTACTGAAAAATGTTAAAATTGGATTTATAAAGAATGTCAGTTTTAACGGCTGCTGTAATTGGTTTCTCAGTTCCTTTCCCACCTCCCAATGTAAGTGATATGAAAAAATAAATATAAAAAATATCAAAATACTAGAAAGTACATTCTTGTTTTAATAAAAAATAAAAAATATATATACAAAGAAGCTTTCAATCTATAAATTACTAGAAAATTTTATCAATAGCCTCTATATTTTATTTTTATATTATACACACGGTACAGAATTAGAAATTTTGTTATCGAGCTGTGACAGAGCGTTAAAAACTTGTTTATTAAAATCATGGCGTAAATTAGCAGTTTTACTGAAGTATTATGGAATCTAAATAAAAAGACTTTTTAAATGATTAGTTTAACGTTTTACGTAACACACACGCTTTTATAATATCGAACGATAATGAAAAGTCTCATCCAAACTCTATTTACGTCAGGTATGATTTTGCGGAAAATTAAAACAAGAGCACTTCTTCGAGGTATTAATATGCACTGAAAACGATATGCTGATCAGAGATACCATATGTCTTATATGTCGAAAACTCGAATATATAATGCTAATATATTCGAAATTTTACTTTCTCCTTTTTTTTTTTAATAAAATGATATAATTCTATTTTAAGGTTTATTTTAGCTAACATATTATTTTTGTTTTGATTCTCTTCTGTTTCTTCTATTTCTTCCGACAGCTGACGCAAGAGGCCCACCAGCGGCCGAACGGTAAAGTCGCTGAACACTGGTAGTTCGGTCCAAGATTCGGATTCTCGTGAGCGGGCTCTTGCATGGGTGTTTTCGTCGTTATCCCCATGTGTAACGCGTATATGAAAGTTAGGGAAACTTTCCACGATCTTCATTGTGTAATATTAAGTCAAATGTTCCACGCTAATAGACTGAGAAGTGAGTTATCTAGTGAGAATACAACAAAATCTTATTAAAGTTTCAAATAACCTCTCTATTTAAATTGTATATTATAACTTAAACTTGCTATTTAACTTCTATGTTGAACTAAAACAGACGGCATATTTGTGCCTGCAAGAAAAACTCTGTCACTTGCGGGTAGTATGATAACATAAGTTGAATTTATAACTTAAAAGTATTGTTGCCGAGGACTACACAGATTTGGTCTAACTTAACTGGTTTAAAATTTCAATATTGCGTTTTACAACCGGTCAGCAAAATGGCTAAAGCCAGGATATTAATAGGCAGAACTGGGCGGAAAAAATCAAACTGCAGGCGCTGTTGCTAAAAGTTTTATATAAAAAACATTCAGAATCCTCTTCTAAATTTCCAGAATTTATACATAATAATTTAGGATGGGAATTTATATTCTAAATTTGAAATTTTGAGTCAGCGTTTCAAATATCGAAATATTAAAATATCGTTCAAGATATTTTGATATTTCGATTATTAACTAATACGCTCTTAAAACACCTAATTTGTAAGTATATTAACTAGTTCTAATATATATCAGTTGGTAAAAAACGACAAATTCAAAAGCCACATTAATTAAGTATTGACTGTTTAATAATTATTTCTAATTAAATGTTTGAAGGTATTTATTTTTATTTTATACATAACCTAACTGAATGAAACTTCGAAAATGTTTGTAAGATTTATACTAAATTTTAAAGAGTTATTTTCAGTTTTAGCTACTTTCCTATCCTTTCTAATTTCAGCTTACAAATTTCCGGCCAGAGTGTGTTTTTAGAATCGTGGTTAAATGCAAATGAAGGAAGAGCAGTACTTAAGTCGAAGTTCCACTGACTTCGTTAGAGAGCCAAAGATTCTGACTAGCGCGCGTTTGCCATTTGGTTACACTCTCTCTAAGCTGTTACTACGCTTGGCCGTATTTCGGGCCTTTGATAGCTTCGCCGTTTAGTTAACATTTAGGGGCCAACTCCTGTAGAATTTTGATAGCTTCGACTATATCTTTTTAGTTAAGCATTAGTTAAGTTTTGATTTTCTTAGTACTTTTGAGTTCAAGCCCAAGTGGAGGCTTTCTGTACGTCCTGAGAAAGGGCCATCTTTTAACTTTTTTTTTGAGCAATAAAGGGTAATTAACTCTTTTTGAGTTTAGGTTTCTGTTTCCTGAGTTAAAGCGATTATTCGCTTACTAGTTCTGAAGGTTCCACACTCATAGCTGTAACTTTAAGGTTCGAACCGTATATGTTTAATAATAATAAAATTTAACTATATACTTTTCTTACGTGCTATTTGAGTATAAATCCCATAATAAGGTTAAATATAACATTTTTTTCAAACTTTGTATATCTTTTAATAATAACACCTTTTTAAATATTGGAAGTGGCACGCACGTGTTTTAGATAATGGCACTTTTCCAAAAACGATGGGCTACCCCTGTTCTATGGTTAAAAACTTTTGTAGAGTGAAATAGTTTTCTTTATAATTGATATTTTTTAAGAAGCTTTCCTACGTTTTTCGAGGGTTTAGATGCGTTTATTGCCTTTAGATATTTCTTTCCTTTGCTACAGAATTGACCATAATGAGTAAGATAAATTAGATCCCAACCCTATGTCCACAGACACCATTGTGCCCGCCGATGATTTTACCTATGCCCATGATTTTACCTGTTGTACGACCACCGATAAAATTATTTAAGTTTTCAATAAACTCTTATGTAAAATTAGTTATAGTTAGTAATTAATTACAGTACTATCATAAGCTTATTTGTTTTAAAAAATTAGTTGTTTGTAATTATACGTTTATCGTTTTAAATGGGCTTACCAGATGTCCCGGTGTGACCGGGATTGCTTTAGTTCGAAGGATTGTTTCCTATCAGTTTGTCACTTTATCCCAGTTATTTGTCGTTAAAAATTTGAAAATGTCAAACAGACACGCATTAAAAATGTTTTTAATGCCTTCCTCTACTGTTTTTTAAAAAGCTCCCAAAATTTCAAAATGATCTAAAATTTTTCAGAAAGTTTGCTTTTGGCGATAAAAAACTTCGTATTTAGTAATTCTTTCTAGATCGCTTAATGATCTAGCAGATGTATTTCATCAGATTTAGCAGACATATTTAATCTTTTTGAATGTGTGGCTTTGTTTTTTCTTTATTTTTCCTTCCCCAAAACAATCTGAAGTTCAACTTTGGGAGGCCTTCTTTATCAGGCAGATGGCCTTGGCCTGTTTTTTTATAACTGATTAAGCAACAATAGTTTAAAGAGTGGACTGACGTCATGTTTAATGGAGCTTTTCATAACATTTTAACTGTTAATTTCCAAAAATGACTGGTGTGATTTATATTCACAATGTATATGTCTTTTCCGTAGTAGGAAATGAAATATTCATAATCCCTTGTTTGAAAGCCCCGTGAACTAAATTATGAACCAATGAACACGCGACAAAACTCATAGGTCTCAAATTGCTACTCGTTCTGAATATCTGGCGACAGATGTTTTAATATTTATGAATTTGAACAAACTGCTGTCGAAACTATGCTACATAATTCATTTTCCATTTCGAAAACAAGCTATATTGTTTCCCGGCTACTCTTAGCAACTGTCATCGATCTTCATGAGCAATTTTCAGTGCAGGAGTTTTCAGTATCAACTTTAAATCCCTTCAAATTCATTTAATATGTGAAACATCGCTTAAAATGAGTAAGGAGTATAGAAATATGATAAGTATGCACCTTTTCATTTTCAGTTTTGCAGGCGTAGAGATGCTAAATCTTGAAAGCAAAGAGAAATTTCTTTTGAGATGGATTACAAAATTTAACATGTGTTTAGCCATTTTATGCTTGTGCGCTTTGAATCTGGTTTATATATACGATGTGCTATACCACACTGAAAATGGTTCCAAGGAAAGAGCACTGCTGATGGTAGTCCTATGTTTGAGTGCTTGTTTATACCTGACCATGATCATGAAACGAAAACACTTGCTGGATATCTTCAAAATAACTGAAAAAGTTGCCAAATCTTTAAACCTGGTAAGACTTGGAAAGATAATTATGATTCATTATTCCATGAATGCTATTACAGTCGTCTTTGGATTGGTGATGGATGTTTGGGTGACAACAAATCAGAACAATAGTACCACTTTTTATCCATTGGACGCTTTTTCTTTAAAAAAAATTGACATTATTTTGCCATCTTCTTACATATTTTTAATTCTTCATAGTATATGGCATATCCTAACTTTGACTACTTTAGTTGCATTTGCGATAATTTACGTAATGGTTTGTAAAATATTTGAAATAGCATCTCAAAATCTTCTCAAGAACATCGACGAATGTTACCGGACATCTATAATCTTGCACAGGTTAATCACGAATACCTTATATCTGGTAGATAAGAAACTGGGACTAATATTTTTCGTTAGTTTCTGTTTTACCATTTGCTCGACACTTAGAACAATATATACTGTATTTTTCACAGATACCGGTTACAAAAATTGCGTGATGTTGGTGTCTTCTGCTCAAGGATTTGGTCTGATATTTGTTATGATACGAGCTGCTATTCGCGTTAACAACTGTCTCAGATTAGCCAAATGGAAGATAACTTGCTCAACTATCACTACCAGCTCCGCCTATCAGTTGCCTTTGACCTTACAGGCTCTGAATGCTACTACGAGCCTATCCCTTTGGGGTATGGTAGATGTTACCAAAAGTTTAGCTTTCACAGTATTTGGTTTTCTGTTTACTTATGTGTTTGTTATTCAGACGATGAGCTCTTAGGACTGTGCACACGCTGACCTGTAAGTCTTGAATCATAGAAATTAGTGAATCTCTCTGAAATTTGACCTGAAATAGCTTGTCGTTTACCCACAGGAGCACATCAAAGCCTTGATTTAATATTTTGAGAAAATAACTGATCTGAAGCAAATTAAGGAAACAATTCGGTAACCTTGTCATCAGTCTGATTTTATAATTCCACCTCATAACAATAGTGCTCGTGAAATGTGGTGCTCCTGAGATGTGGTTATAGTGCTCGTGAGATGTGGTGACCAACATCAGACTGCATAATGGTGCAGCGTCGTAAAGCTACTGGAATTTTTAAACAAATCGGAAACTGCTCGAAAAGACGAATTCTCACAAGGGTGCTACTGCATGTAGGTGGTGGTGCTATTAAGATGATGAGTTTTGAATTTATAAAAAGCACGAAGATTTCATGCTGAGAAACCGCTATGCAAAAAGCTTTTAATTTGTTCTTTTGATTATCAAACGGGTAAAGTCTCTTTTCCTGTAGTGATGCTCCGTCATAAAGGCACCCATACATTTACGAAATTTGCTTTATAAAAATTAGAAGTTAAGAAGCTACACAAGGATGCGGCCCGTACCTTTTTATGAAAGTTCCAACTGTGGCCGACTTTCAGAAAGGTGCCGGCATACTAATGACGGGACACTATTATGAAGGCGTCTCGTCATAATAGCATTTCGGCGTATGACAACCTGGATTCGGCGAGGGCACTGCCCATTTTTCATGTCTTCTGCTTCAAAATAACCTAATGTATCTACAACTCTTATTCGTTATTTTTGCTTAGTCGGTTACCAAAACAACCAATTGTGATCAATGTACCTTAACTGAGGTTCCCAAGAATACTAGTTTCTCATGTTTCGCTAAAAATCAATAGATCCACAAAGTATATTGATGAATAAGTTAATTACACATAAAATGCATTTTCGAGTTACTTTCGATTTTGAATTTCTTTATTTTATTAACTTACAGTGATTTATTAATTAGTTTACTAATTGCAAAACTTTTAGTAGTTATCATAATTTTACATTCATTTACCATGGTTTACTTTATGCCTTTTAAGCATTATCAGTAAGCAATTGCATCAACAACAGTCACTTTGATTTGTTTTCTTTATTTTTGTTTCAGCATATTTAATAGATGGTATATTTCAGCATGTTTAATAGATAGTTCAGTTTAACATCGATTTATCTATAATATTTGTCAGCATATATTATTTTGTGCAATAAATGTGAAAAGTAAAGCTTGTTCCTAATACCCTATAATACACTGACTACAAATTTCTAACCTTATTTCTCATACATCTGTTGCCAACATCGCAAAATAAAATAAAAGAATGATTTTCGTACTTGTCAGGATGACGAAGATATTATATTTCACGCAAATCTAATTTTAACATTTTTTTATTAACTACAAACACGACTTTACATGCAGAAATATTTACATGACTTGAAAAATATAATTATAGGAAAATTTATGGGTTTTATTGTTTTAACTCAGGTGTTATCTCATCACCCTACAAAATTATATCAGCCACACCGGCCAAAAACTTAACTCGAGTGCGAACACCCTACCGAAGCTCTTGCAGATATCTTCAATGTTATGATTGTTTCCCTTGCAGGCTTTTCGCTACCGGTAAGCAGGCAGCTGATTGGCTAACCACAGGAGAGATACATGACAGCGATAAAATTTTATAGTAACGTGTAGATGCAACTCTCTGTATTTAATACTTTTAATTATTATTCTGTTGAACTATTTTAAATTCCAATACGAAATGCGGAAACACACGGAGTTTTAAAAAATGAAATCTTTCCCAGTTATGTTTTAACTTTATTCAACAAAAATTTATGTTTATGAACTGGCAACTTATATATTTATATATTTTATATATTTTTTCATATATTTTTTTCAGTTTTAGACGGAAAGCGAAACAATTCTATAAAATTTTAATTTTCTATTTACTATTTGGCCTAAAAGTTAGTAAAACCCAGCTGCCAGCATTACCGAATGTTAATTATTATTTTTTTAAATCTATCTCCCTGCAGCATTTTAGCAGTTAAGCATTTTTGAATGAGCAGACTTATATACCTTTTTCCCGTTGGAAATATCAAGAATTCAGAGTTAAAGACAGCTGTGTCCATGGTAAATGACTTGCCATTTATGAATTCAGTACAGCACGGAACGTCCAGCTTTACTGAACTAGCCGAGAATAACGCGTATAAAAAATCTAATGTCAGAAAACAGAACAAAAAGAAAGCTGGTACTTACGCAGTAACGGCGTTAAGGTAGGGGCAAACCGACATCGTTTGAGCATAGACTTCGACTCCCAGAATAGATTCTTTAAATTTAAGGAAAGAACACTGAAGGTATACATTTTTTTATGAAACTGCCTTGATAAAAAAAATAGATATTTTGTTTTGGACTTGCTTACCACATATTATATCGAGGCTGCACTTAGAAATGAATGGAACTATGTCGACGTATTCATCTTCTGTATGATTTTTGAGGACGTTCGCCAAAATCTTGGACTGCTTGTTCATCGCGGGCAGAAAGTCTTTCAAGATGTGAAAATGGAAAGCTGGTGTCAGCAATTTTCTTCGACTTCTCCATTTTTCATCGTAGCTTTGAGAAACAAGCAAATAAAAAAATGCATGAAATCATAATGTTACTCATAAGAAGAAAACTGACAATTACGATATCCCATACAGTGATATATGATATGCCAGCGCACGGTAAAGAAAACTAATAATTAACTTGCAATCTGAAATTTTCAGATTTCACTCTAATGTTCTAAATTGGAGTTTAATATAATATATATGTGTAAGATATAACAAAATACGGCTGCTTTAAGAATAATTGCCGGCCTCAAAATTAACTGTTCTAGATTTGGTGCTGTACCCCTAAATTCATCTGTTCTCCCAAATTCGAGATCCTTCCATGTTTCCATAACAACCTAAAATTAACCAATCATAGCTTGTCTCTACCATTGCCTCTGCTTCGGTATAAATACCGCTGGCGAGTTATAGCTTCGCTACTGCTAACATATCCCCGCTGCTCTGCTTGTTTGTCTAAAAGGATGTCGCTCCCGTTAACCTGTGTATATAAAGAAATTATTGTAATTGTTTATGATCTAGAAATATTTCATCCACTAAGAAACTGATTTAATATGCCTGAAAATAAAGATTGGTGATATGTCGCAATCCAGTTTCGTTATCTTCGTCAGTACGCATTCAACCCCCGGCCATGACGACTGCAAGCTGTTAAAGTATCGGATTCCTCCTACACGTGAAATCATCACATATATATATAAAACATATACATAAATATGTCATATTTTTAAAAGCGTAGAAGAGGAATTAGCTTGCCGTCGTAGTTAAGCGTTAAGCGTATGAAGATAACAAAGTTATACCAAGTTTAATGTACAAGCACAGCTAATGCAGGATTGGTTAGTTAGTAAAGTTACATAACGTCGAAACATCTCGAATTTGAAAGAATAAATGAATTTAAGGGGAGAGCACCAAATTTAGAATGTTAATTTTGAGGTCGCCAATTATTTTTTAAAAGCAGCTATCGTATTTTGTTATATATTTATAAGATTGATTTCTACTAAATATATTAATAAATCGTAATAAATTGCCTAAAATATATATGTATTAATTTATTATGTTAAAAGATAGGATATTAAGTGATAGGGTTATGTTAGGATAATTCAATTTAGAACCAATTTTACACAAAGACCCAAAAGAAGTAGAATTCAGTACAGCAAAAATTAAAGAACTGAAATAAAAACCTAAAAATTATAAAAACCTGAAAAAGTATATCAAAAACTAGAAAACATAAAAGAAGAGGAATTTAATCTAATGTGATTAATGTTATCAAGAAGAGGATATACCAGATTCAACTACAATCCCCCCTCCACTGGAAAACCATTGCCTTTATGTATCCAAAATTAGGTGATGATCTGTTGTTCTAAAGTAGTTAATTATAATAGTTCATTTGAAAATTTTTGAAGTCCTTCTCGACGCAGGGTAAAGATTCCAATATCAAATCAAGTAAAAGAATAAAATTGGATATTTTTTGCTGAATTTAAAATTGAAATAAAGTAGAAATACAAAAATAACAAAAATTTAAATATAATAAACCGAAAAAATGAATTTAAAATTTACTCAGACGACGAAGAAGCAATCCGATAGTGAAAAATATTAAACATATCTAAATGAAGAAAATCCAAGTGGAAATTAAAATGTAGAAATAGAATCGACTAGAAATTAAAAGACTAATTAAAAGTACAAATTTCGAAACAAAGAACAGAAACGTTAGTTTCAAAACTGCAGCAGCAGGGGCTGCTACATTAGCAGGGACGTTTGTTTTTACGTTTTTAAATGTAAAATAATATAAACCGAAAAAGTATCGAAATTATTAAAGTATGCCCCGGTCTGAATAAAAGTAAAGAAAAATATATATAGAGATGATCTGCACGTTATTGAAAAATTTCATCATCCCATTCGATTTTATTTTGCACGCAGATATCAATACACAAAAGAAGTTGAGTGTAAAAGTTTGGAGTTGATGTACTATAGAGTATTAGATACATACTTATCTAGGACATTTATCATACCTTCACTATTCGTGAAATGTTACTAGTATATTTAACTACAATAACTGAAAGAGTATGTAAAAACGTCTGAAATAATTCAGATTTTAACGATCTCCCAAAAGGATTTATTGCGGTTTTTTAAGCTCTCGCTGAGTTCGCAGTCTTCCAATTTGCTGTTGCACTCATTCATCCTAGCTCTGTTATTAAACACCATTTTCTTCGCATTTACGCTATTCATATACGATCCAACAGCAAAATTACAATTTTAAAAGCAGCATAGCGGCATATGTTTAATATTCCCGACGCAGTGTTAAGTGTTGGCATACGTTTTTCTTCTTTTCAGTCTTTTCTCAGTTCATCATATCAATTTTCAGTTTTCTCAGTAAGATGGTTTAAAAAACTTTTTTTTTATCTTTTTATTATTAATGTTTTGTGTGTTAACTTTATTTATTAGATATCACGTCCTTCAGACCTACGTATCATAAACAGAGGAATCGCAAAATATTTAAAAACAGAATATCTTTAGAACTTCTGACAGACGCTCTTCAGCATTGGAGATAAAACTATTGTATTCGGTACACTGCTGCCACGGCTCGCTTTGAAATTGTTGAGTTCATTAGTCAAAAATTCATTAAAGTTTAACAATATGATCTTAGAAAGCTTAACAGAGAACGCTTAAAGAGCTTAACAGACAACTCTTGAGTATTATTTACTCATTTTACTAGGGCTCATCTAGTATGGCTAGTCTTAGTAAGCATGTAAGTGAAGGTTTCTGGAAAAATAGAGAAGACAGAAAAGAATAACTATAAAATTAATTAGTTATTTAAATAAACCACCACTACAACCTAAAGCAGTGACACTCAGCGTTTTCCCCTTAATGACAAACTTAAATAAGCAATCGAGAAACCTCAATTTAGACGTTTAACTATTATTAATGTTATACAAAGTACACTAAAATTCCCTAGACTTGTTAAAAATTCTTAGAAAGGAACAAGTTGTCATATGAGAATGCGGTTTGCACCAAAATTCATGTCAAGAATTTGGTGAAGGTCATTTGCCTTTTAGGATGATATTTAACGAATGTTAAGTGTCATAAAATTGCTTCGTTACGCAATGCTTTATGCTGAAAAAGTTCGTATATCCCCCAGAACAAGAAATATCATTCTACAAGCGGTTAGTCTCGCCTTTCGGTGATGCATTGAACATAGCTAGTTCTAATAGAAGGATTTTGCAGCGGATAGCATCATTTAATTTGTTAGGGCTGATGAGCCACTGGTATTCATCCAGTATTTCAAAGAAGGCCGGCTGATACGACTGCACTGGTTGGACCAGCTCTAGCGTCAGACATAATTTCAAATAATCCCTCAACCAAAAATTAACGGAAGTCAAATCCGGAGATCGAGGAGCCCAGGCACTAGGGCATGAGCAAAATCAATACCTTTATGAGGAACTACAATAACTACTTTGCAAAATTCGAATTCAGGATATAAAGTTGGATGCAAAAGGTATTCTAGGACAATTCGTTCATTTTTAACGAATTTTTGGTGACTTTTGTACACTTTGCATTAACACTAACCTAAGTAATGTGTTTGTACTTGATATAGCACTTCAAAGCTGAAATGGATCACTTTAACTTAAAGCAATTTCTTTTCATATAGAGACAGACAGCGTATGATTAAATTGTACCATTAGCGAGCAACTTCTTTTTATGTATTGTTTGTTCTCGCTATTAAATACTAGCCGAGTAGCATTTGTTAATATATATTTTACTACAACTTTTGTCAAATGCTGGTCCATCTGGACCACAGAGCGGCGTTGGGAGTAGTCCGTTACTCATATAAAATAACACTAAAAGTAATGATGACGTTAATTCTGATGCTGTCTTTTGGCTCTCCTCTAATGATATAATGCAGGGGTTCTCAACCGGTGGTAAGCAAAAGAAAAATGGGTGGTACGTAAAAAAAGCAAACTATTTTTAACTATTAAATTGAAAAATTAAAGCACCAATATCCTGATCGAGTTTTTTCTCTAACACTCGTAAATTTATGCGATCTGAGCTTTGTTCAAGAGTGGTGGTGGTAGTAGTGCTTTGTAGTGGTGGTATTATCGGGTTTTCAATTTTTGTTTACATGGTACGCGTTATTCAAAAGGTTGAGAACCGCTGGTATGATGTATTTGGGAAACTTGCTTGAGGTACACCATGCAAAAAAAAAAAAAAAAAAAAAAAAAAAAAAGATAATAATAATAATAATAATAATAATAATAATACTTTTTCGTTCTAATTATGAAAGTATGTGCAGCTTCCAAGATTAATTTATATGTCATAATAAAAGTTTAGCAATGAAAATAGTGTGCTTATGATGAAATGTATCAATTAATGCAAAAAACGGTACCTTCCGCCCCCGGGTGGGCTCGAACCACCAACCTTTCGGTTAACAGCCGAACGCGCTAGCCAATTGCGCCACGGAGGCTTGCCTTCCTGCTTGCAAAAAATGATAATAATCAAAATTTGTATTATTCATGCTATTGAGTTTAAAATGTATTGTTGTAAAATTGTTGAATGAATTTCCCGAACAATGTTGCATTCTGATAGGAGTTGATGTATATATATTTACTAAAGAACGCAATGGCAAAAATGGGTGAATAATTAAACTTACTTAAAATATTATTTTAGTTATTTTATGTAGAAAGAGTGAATTTAAAAACCCAGTGAAAGCTTTCTTTATGACTATCTTTAAAAGAGGTCGATATTTCTTTATAAATTAATATCGGGATTGAGTGACATCTCCACAGAAGACCAAAATCGACTATAATCATGGCTGATCGAAGACTTCGCTGAATTATTGAAAATTATAATAATGAAAAATGATAAAATATGCCTAAAAAATCTGAAAGCTTTCAGATTTTACATTATGCCCAAAGGGACGTTTTTTAACGTTTTCTGGGTTACCTTATCTATCATGTTCTTCGCGCTTAAACGATAAAATTTAACAGCAAACCAATTCAACAGCAATATCGCAAAATAATTTTAAAATGAGCATATCTTTAGAATTTCCGATAAGCAGTCTCGTGCGCTGGAGATAATTTTTTTCCCATTCAATGTTGCTATTACTCGCTTTGAAATCGGTTAAGTTTGTTAATAAAAAATTCGTTAAAGTGTTACAAAATATGAAATCGATAATAAAACAAATTCGAAACTCCAAATTTGGGCTTCCAGATGCCCATATTCGGTGGAGGATTACGTTATTCAGAACTGGATTGTTTTATCACAATGCGAGAAATATACATACATTTATGCAGATTCTTCATTATTTAATTTCCTTAGATATAACAGCTCTAATATTTGGTGGCAACAATTTAAAAAGTGATTCGCCGTTTATAGTGAATCAGCGCAAAATTCCAAAACGAAATTAATAGCCCTTCTAGGACAACGCCCTTTGGGTCGCCAAGTGAATTATTCTTGGCAAAAACTGAAAAAATGCGCCAAGATAAATTTTAAAACTTTTCTATAAATGTTTCACCAAAAATTACAAACTTTAATGCCTAAGGCATAATTTGAGTCGTAGAATCGAAATGTGGGAAAAAACTGACATGTTATTTCAGAAACGTCCGAACAAATATGTCAAAATACCTATGTTAGAACTTCTATGTGCTATATATAAATCTAATGTATATCCCATGTCGCGCTTTCGAGACATGGAAAAACAAGTTAAATTTCGACAATCGGTCCAGTAGAATGGGAGTTATAGAACTGCCTCCCCCCCCCCTCTCTTTTTTTTTTTTTTTTTCTTCTTTTTTTTTGTGCTAGATGTACCCTTCATGAAAAACTATAAAATTATTTTTCTTTAAATTACAGCAGATTAAATTATAGGATCGTTATTTTTGAACTAAATTTTAATAGCGATATGATGATGCTCAGCAGTCGAGCTCTCCGTAGAAAACAAACAGAACGGAAGCTCATTAGCGAAACAGTGCTGCGTCATCTGAATATGTTGTCAGAAAGTATGCTGTATGAAAGCTGTCATACTCTATACAGCTGTGGTCTACACAAAGACTGAAATCTTATGAAAAAAGTTACCAGTTTTGGCACTATTAAAGCTTGAAGTTTGTTTGTAAACACTGAAGATAATAATGACATCTATTCTCGCTATGGAACTTTGTCTTTTTTCTTTTAAAAAAACCAAGAAGAAGGGAAAGATTAAAAATTCCTCCAGGAGTTGTTAATTTTATGCAACTTTTTGTAAAGAAATATAAAATAAAGGCTCAATAGTAAATACAGAATAGCAATTTTGAGCGAAACATGTGAACTAGACAATTTTGTAGGTGTCTCTATTTTGCTATAGATTATATATAAAATTTATAGAGTTTTGTCTTCTTTACTAGCATAAGTTCAAGTCCAAAATACTAACGGACTTGGCGCTAAGTATCGTTTCGTCTGAAACGAATACAAAGTCTTAAGAAGGTTTTAAAACAAATCTCCTTATTAAATCAGAACTGACACATAAATGCATGACTCATGCTTACAAATCAGCCAACCACCTGGGGGGATATAAATTCAAATTTAAAACTAAGTAGCCAAGAGCTACACAAATGATTTAAAGTTGGCTAATTGATTAATGATTTAAAATTGATTAAAGTTGGCTCAAACGTCTCACCGCATAACAATTTAAATGTCTGCAACTTTAAATGTAGCAGCGTGGACCCGAGGGGAAGAATCGCGCTTTATCCCGCAATCCGAAAATCTTATAAATATTCTTAACTAATTTGCATTCTGGTAGGGAAACGGACAGAGAAGTGACAAAAAAGATCTAATTTGTAAAATAACTGGTTATTAAAAATAATAATAAAGTTGCAAATTAACTAATGACTTCTTGGTAAATATTACTGCGTGCTGCGGAATGTTAGAGATTTGTTTAATAACTACATTAGACATACTGAAAGAAATTGACAGTTATGCAATAAATGACAGCTCTACAGCAAGGACAGCTATAAATAATTCAAGGACAATAATATTCTTTTTAGCACGACTATCAGAGGCCACTTGCAAAAACCACTTGCAAAGCAAAAGCTAAAGCTAATTCGCCGACCAGAAGTACAATATAAACGTACGACTCTGCGTTGCGCTATTTAGCTAACTAACTGGCCCTCGGTTGCAACCAAATATTGCCAACTTGGCGACAAAAACTGTTGCCAAGGTCTATCAAGAGAGTTTCTGTCCATGTCTAAGGCTCTGCTCGAGCTATTTTTACAATTTAAACGTCGATCGTTTCATAACTAATAGATCTAAAATATTATACCTAAGGCATACACTGTAAGAGACCATGATTAAAAAAATTCGACGGCAAAAGTGTTACATAAAATGCATTAAGCAAACAAATAAACATATAAAACCTGCATAATATCATAAAAATACATAAAACCAAAAATCAAATAAACAAAAATATTTGCATAAATATCCTATAGCATATAGTGTTGCACATTGACACATATTTACAACAAAAAGCAACAGGATATTTTGTAGAGTTTTCTGAATGATATGATTGCACATTTGAATTCAAAAATTTCCCAACATATGACGCGGCTTCTTACGAGGGTTTAAGAACTACCTGAATTACCTTCATCACTTCTAATGACAACCAATTATCAGATATCTTATAATGTATATTCTCCCGCCTTCCAGCATCCATTTGTGGTGTAACCAGTAGCACACTCGGCGCGTATTCGAAAGGTCCAGGTTCGAGTCGCGAAGAGGGCATTTCTCCTTTTTTCCTCTAGCGCATTTAAAAAACAACAACTCATGACTTTGCAGTGTGATAGTACATAAGTTGAGGACATATTTTAAAGATATTTTTCCAGATGTATACTATCGAGAGCAATTACCTGTTGTGAACATAAATATATTACAAACTAAATTAGGCAGACTTACCTCGTTAACAATCCTGATCCCAACCAAGGATGCAAAAGGTCATAAAACCAAGCTTTCTTCAGTTCGGTGCTGTGATTCAGAACCATCTAAATTTAGAAAAAATATATATGCCCAATGTTTTTGTATTCGTTGCAGAATAATCTGTGTTTTCTAGACGAAAAGAATTTGTATTGATCACTTAAAAAAATTAAAACTCCTTTTTAAAGTTACCCTCACTTTTGTTTAATTCTAAATACTAGTCTAGCTGACCGCACGAACTTTCTTCCCGTCTTTTAATAAAAATTTAAGAACATTCATGAATTCCTCAAAAATATAATCGGCTAAAATGTATTATGCCTTGTAAACATTGAAATACAAAACTAAATTAAAGAATACAGTTAGAATCCGTTTCTCAGCAGCAGGTAACACTGAATTTAATTATTTACAATTCGCATTTCTGAATTTCGTCGTAACTTCTGTCTTGCCTAATTTCATGACCTCTAGAAATATGTGTAGCTTAGCCTTTTCTATTTTTCACATCCCGAGCTGTAGTGTTACATTACATTAAGGTAGTCCTTTAGTTTTTCACCTCCCGCTATGTAGTGTTTTGTTACGTTACGCCACAAGAGCTTTTTTTTATCCACCATAAAATGTTGCTATTCATGAAGGGGTATTATTTTTAATTTATCATCTTCGGATCCTGGCAGATCTCACGTTCTTAGAGGCGTTGCCATTTGAGTAGAATAAATTTTTTAATATGTCTTTCAGATGAAATCTCAGTATTGCTCAATGTTTAACTAATCACCTGAGCTACTGTAGAGCATTCTTATTTTTCGATTAGTAATATATAATTCACTCAGTTTGTTAATCATATCTGCGATTGGAATGAACTAAATTACATCTAATTCATATTATTAAAGAAATGATTAAAACGCCCTGCTAGACACTCTGTGTTTATCTTACTAGGAAAGATATCAGACTTCTCGATGACCAGGACGACAAAACGTTAGAGGAGATCAACCATGTGAACAAAACAATGAAAACGAAGTATAACATTTCGCAGTTTTCCGCAACCACCAGAACAGAATGCATAAAGTGGAACATACATCCACATTGTTTTCAAGGACATGACGTATAAACTGACTCATGCATCCCCATGACTTACACCCTTTGATTGGTAGACGTAATATATCTGTGAGATTTGATTATGCTTCTTCTAAAATTTGCTGTCGAATTTGTACCATTTTGTGTTCCATTTCACCGGCTGGCTCAAGCATCCAGATGATTTGTCACACTTTATTTCGTGTGGTTCTATTTTCAGGAATATGTTAAGAATTTTTGTTGTTCGGGAAGAATAAAAGTTCCACTATTAAGCACTTGTTGTAAGAGTGTCGTGTGTTGGGTTTTCTGTCAGTAAAATTTACACAGCAAAATGAGGATTAAAAATGAGGAATTTAGTTATAGAACGTACTTAATTACATCAAAACACTAGTCGTTAAAGGTAGAAAATGCCAATACTGTGTATCGAATTACTAAAGCAAACGTCACTGCTGGACGACAAGTCCAGAAACACGTCTTATCAAGCGACAACGTTGTAACTCACACACCCAATTATGTTTGCCAATTTGTGGTTGAAAATATGCGGGCTGGATCGCTATTTTATACCCTCTTTTCTGGGGATAAGATTCATTGTAAAATGCCTCAATTCGCACCTGTTATTTTGTTCACATACGTGATCAGCCTCAAACGTTTCGTGGTGTTTCCTTTCTTAAGTAATCATTTAAATTTACTTCACTTTTAATATGTTTCTAAATGCTACCTAAATTACCTTAAATCTATGCTAGCAATAAATGAATTACAGGGCTGTCGTACTTCCTTCAAACCTAGGAAAAGTCGGATCGTTCAGTTTCATTATTAAATAAATGTCAAAGGTCGGTAATTATAAAAAAAATGCTGTAGCATTTTTTTATGAATAAGAATGCTGTGTAGAAAATGAATGAAAAATATATATAATGATATATATATATATATATATCATTATATATTATATAAATTATATATATCTATATATATATCTATTATATATATATAAGATATATATATATTATATATATATATATATATATATAATAATTTATTTCCTAAACCGTATTGATTAATTGATTATATTATCTCCTAAGTTTAATTAAAGTAGAATTATTTTAAAAGTGTGCATCCATACTGGTAAGTTATATTTTGAAAGATGTTTTGAAGTAATTTGAAAGCAAAATGTTAATAATGTTTTTAAACGGGGACTGGAGTTAAATCATCACGAAGAATAATATTACAATTGCAAAAGTAAAAATTAAAACATGTAATTATTGTCATTGATCGGAAATTAGTTGACTTTTCAAGGGGAACAAACCAACTCCCGTTCAATGATCAATAATTGATAGAAATACGTAAATATGAAAGTGTTTCGTCTTTACTCGAGTTATAAATTAAAGCCAAACCGGCAATTCTAGTCAGGCCAAATATTTCCGCGAATAGTTGTTACTCAAAGAACTGATTCTCATGAAGCATTTTAGTCAATTCGATTTGGAGTAAAAATCAATTACTGTAGAGAAATCTTGTAAAACTCGAGTAATCGTCCCCGACACTATCATCTTTATGTATTTGAGTACTATATTATTTGTAGAAATTAAACATTGGAAATTGTCATTATGAAATCGAAATCAAAGTAAAGTTGAAATAAACATAGAAGATTATAAAAAAGATAAATAATGCAAACTTTGCAAAAACAAATCAAAGAGAACATAAAAATAATATAAAAATATATAAAAATAAAATAGAAAAATAATATAAATAAGATCAGTGAATGTACATGAAGATATAAAGGCCAGAAAGGTATGAAGTAACTTACATTCTTTCTAGTGGGGGAGTTGGCATGTGTTCTCTTCGTGTCTGACTCAGAAGTGTAGGGTGTCCGAAAATTCTTAGCGGCAGTAGGGGCTTTGAATTATATCAGTCGGGAAGACTTGGGTGAAGAAATTTATGGTAGTGGGTGGGACTTGGAATTCTTGAGGGATGTATTTTGTGGAGTTCTTATCTGAGAGAGACCGTCTGTTAAGATTTTTTTAAAAATACTAGTGAATGGAAATTAATTAATTTCTGGCTAATTGCCGTGTCGCAATGATTAAGAATTTAAGAAAGGAAAAAGGCATTTTTCGCTATCCAAGAGCTAGTAGACAGTCTAAAGGCAGGAAATAGGCCCATTTTTTTTTTTAGTAACAGTATAGTAACAGTATATGTCTGAAGACAATTAGCTTTTTACAATATATACAATTGAGTAATTACACTATATACAAATTTTCAACTGACAGTCATCCAACTTATACCGCCTTCTCAGGTTTAGGAATAAATTATCATATCCCTATCAGTTAAATGATTTAGAGTGAGTATTTAACGCCTGCTCTTTTAAGGCAATGGTTGATAAATTGAAAGGGAATTAGATTATTTTTGAGAATTTTGATAAGGATCAAAATTTCGCGTTGTAAATCTATTGTATCTGTGCATATAGTTTTAATTCGTTGTATTTGATTAATTATAGTATTGTTAATTACTTTTTTGGATATGTTGGAGTTCCAATTTATTAATTTGTTAGTATTGAAATTGAAGTTTCTTGTTTTGTCAAAACGTAAAATTTTTTTGTAGTTAATGATTTGAAGATCTAGAAAGTCTATGCTATTTTGTGAATTATTAGTTTTATTAAGTTTAAGACAATTCGGATAAATGTCGGGTTTTCAATTTTTACCAAAATTATTAATTGTAATAAGGTCATCAATAAATCTGTAGGTGTGTTTGTAGTAATTTAACTCTTGTGGTTGTAGATTTTTTGGAAGTTAAATTCTTTGACAAATAAAAAGATATTACAGATCGAGGTGCTGGAATGTAAGCCCATTGGCAATCCTCTGACTTGTTTAAAAAGTTGATTTTGAAAACTTGATGTAGTTATGAAAAAGTGTGCATTTTAGGTAGGTTTTCCATTTGTCAAGAGTCATGATATTGAGTATATTAGGGAAAAGTTTTGGTTAGATCAAGTAGACTGGTATAGATTTCTTCTAGAGGAAGTGAGGTATATAAGTTTTCAAAATCATAGCAAGTTAATGTTTTGGATGTTAATGGTATGAATGGTATTAATGACAGGAGTGGTTATTATGAATGATCCAGCAATAGTTATGATTAGTGTTACAATCATTGAAAATAAATTTACAGATTTTATTAATTGAATTGAAAAAATAATAGTCTATATTTTTCTTGTAATTATTAGTTCCATTAGCTATAAATCTAAATTTTAATTGGTGTTTTATGGAATTTGGGAATCGCCATAAAGATTAGTAAATCTGTTTTAGTTTGCATTGAAAGTAATATTGAGTTTCTTATGAAAAGTTTTAATCCTGTTTATTATAGATGTTTCTGTAAGGTTGGCTGATTGATAAGTAGTTGCGTTGAGAAGTTCTTTATGAATAATTTCAGCGTAGAATTGTTTTCATATAATGCTAAAGTTATTAGTTGCTTTATCTATTTTTGTAATAGTAAAAAGCTGTTTTAATTTTTAATTTGATGTAAGTTGCGACCAATTCCGTGTACTTTTAAATTTGAGGTGACTGATTTCTGTGGATATGCGTTGAAGAATTTAGCTTTCCATTTAAGAAGGTATCTATGGGAAAATTCAGTTGATAGCTTGCTTTAACTATAAATTCGTTGATGTGTTTCGAAAGTCTTGTAACAGTAATTTGTAGTCATGTTTCTGACTGGTCTAAATTTTTACCATAACTCATTAGTGTTTTTAGTTGATGGTTTTGATTGATATTCAGGTTGCCAGTAATTATGTGGGGTGATAGAATCTACGTAATGCTGTAAATTGGTGTTACAATGTCGTCTCAAATCAAAAAATTCAAGCACAAAAAATAACATTTAAAATAAGTACACCATCACAACTTAATACAGCAGAATTAGAACACTTTAAACACCATGACTTCAACTCTATTCAACTTCAGATACTAGATATAATACCCAATCACAAAACACGAATTTTTCAGGAATCTCTCTATATACTAAAACAAACGTTCACTTATCCATATGGACTTAACACTTATATACATAGTCATAGAGATACTTCTAAGAAGTCTATTTTCAGCCAATTTAAGCTCTACAACAAAACGCAGAGAGGAAATAAGAGGAGCAAAATAAAAATAATGCGAGATTTTATCCACTTTGGATACATTGCATTGAAAAACAATTGAAATGTTTTTTGACTCAGACTGTTTTTCCCAAGAAACTTCTCAACTGTTACACTCCTGTACTAATAATTCCTTATCAACTAAAAAAATTCATTCAGAAAGCTACGACGACATACAATCATTAAAGACATGATTCTTTTGATTTTAGGTTTTCGGACTCTCTAATAGTCTCACTCAACGCAAAATTTATTTAAAGTCAATTCTACATCCGCAGTTTGACAATATTCATTTCTAAAGAATCATCAGAGATTGTAAAGATTACTTCCCCGCAGTTGACACATATCCCAATGATTGCATTTAAATATAAAAGACCTTAAGCACTTGCACTAACCACATGAATAGATGAAATCAGAATGGACATTGTAAGACCAATTTACAGCAATTACGGATTGAATCACCAGCAATAATTACTGGCAACTGAATATCATACAAAACATCAACTAAAAACACTAAGAGTTTGGTACAAAAAGACACGTCAAAACATGACTACTAATTACGGAACAGACTTTCGAAAACAACATCAACGAATTTATAGTTAAAGAAGCTATCAACTGAATTTTCCATAGATCCTTCAAAATGGAAAGCTAAAATTCTTAAACGCATACCACAAAATCAGTCCCTCAAATTAAAAGCACTGACTGGTCGCAATTACATCGATATTAGAAATAAAAACAGCTTTTTAATATTACAAAAATAGATAAGCAACAATATTAGCATTATATGAAAACAATCACCTGAGATTATTCAAAGAACTTCTCAACGCAACTACTTATCACAGCCACCGTACAGAAACATCTATAATAAACAGGATTAAACTTTCATAAGAAACAATATTACTTTCAATGCAAACTAAAACAGATTTACTAATCTTTTGCGATTCCCAATTCCATTAAAACACCATTAAAATTAAGATTATAGCTAATGGAACTATAATTACAAGAAAAATATAGGACTATTATTTTCAATTCACTTAATAAAATCTGTAAATTTATTTTCAATGATTGTAACACTAATCATAACTATTGCTGGATCATTCATATAACCACTCCTGTCATTAATATTCCATTAACATCCAAACATTAACGCTATGATTTTGAAAACTTATATACCTCACTTCCTCTAGAAGAAATCTATACCAGTCTACTGATCTACCAAAACTTCCCTAATATACTCAATATCATGACTCTTGACAAATGGAAAACCTACCTAAAATGCACACTTTTCATAACTACATCAGTTTCAAAATCACTTTTTAAACAGTCAGAGGATTGCCAATGGGCTTACATTCCAGCACCTCGATCTGTAATATCTTTTTATTTGTCAAAGAATTTAACTTCCAAAAAAATCTACAACCACAAGAGTTAAATTACTACACAACCACCTACAGATTTATTGTGACCTTATTACAATTAATAATTTTTGGTAAAATTGAAAACTCCGATTTATCCGAATTGTCTTAAACTTAATAAAACTAATAATTCACAAAAGATAGACTTTCTAGATCTTCAATCATTACTACAAAAAAAATTTTAGTTTGACAAAACAGAAACTTCAATTTAAATACTAACAATTAATAATTGGAAAAAACAAAAAAACTCCAACATACACAAAAAAAAACAAAGATTAAAAAATACAACGAAAAAAAATGCAAAGATACAATAGATTTTACAACCAAATTTTGATCAAAATTCTCAAAAATAATCTAATTCCCTTTCAATTATAAACATTGCCTTAAAGAGCAGCGTAAATACTCACTCTAAAAAAAAAAAAAAAAATAAAAAAAAAATTCCTAAAAAAAAAAGGCGGTTATAAGTTGGATGAATGTCAGTTGAAAGTAATTACTCAATTGTATATTGTAAAAAGCTAACTCAAGACTACTGTTAAAAAACTAAAACAAAATGGGCTATACCTCCAAAACTGTCTATGCTCTTGGATGCGAAAATGCAACCCTTTCTTAAATCTTAATCATTGCGACACGACAATTGCCGAAATTCATTTTCCATTCACTAGTATTTTAAAAAATCACCAACGGTTCTCTCAGATAAGAACTCCACAAAATACCTCAAGAATTCCAAGTCCCACCCCTACCATAAATTTCTTCACCCAGGCCCGACTGATAATTCCAAAGCCCCTACTGCCGCTAAGAATTTTCGGACACCCTACACTTTCTGAGTCAGACACGAAGAGAACACACTGCCAATCCCCCACTAGAAAGAATTAAGTTACTTAATACCTTTCTGGCCTTTAATCTTCATGTACATTCACTGATTATTTATATTATTTTCTATTTTATTTTTATATTATTTTTATGTTCTCTTTGATTTGTTTTTGCAAAGTTTGCATTATTTATCTTTTTTATCATCTTCTATGTTTATTTCAACTTTACTTTGATTTCGATTCATAATGACAATTTCCAATGTTTAATTCTACAAATAATATAGTACTCAAATACATAAAGATGATAGTGTCGGGGACGATTACTCGAGTTTTACAAGATTTCTCTACAGTAATTGATTTTTACTCCAATCGAATTGACTAAAAGCTCATGAGAATCATTCTTTGAGTAACAACTATTCGCGGAATATTTGGCCTGACTAGAATTGCCGGTTTGGCTTTTAATTTATAACTCGAGTCAAGACGAAACACTTCCATATTTACGTATTTCTATCAATTATTGATCATTGAAGGGAGTTGGTTGTTCCCCTTGAAAAGTCAACTAATTTCCGATCAATGACAATATTACATGTTTTAATTTTTACTTTTGCAATTGTAATATTATTCTTCGTGATGATTTAACTCCAGTCCCCTTTAAAACATTATTAACATTTTGCTTTCAAATTACTTCAAAACATCTTTCAAAATATAACTTACCAGTATGGATGCACACTTTTAAAATAATTCTATTTTAATTAAACTTAGGAGATAATATAATCAATTAATCAATACGGTTTAGGAAATAAATTATTATTAAACTAACTTTGCAGCAATTGCGCAAGTAATAATAACTTGTATTCGCACTAAATGGATTTAATTCATATATATTATATTATATATATCATATATATATATATATATATATATATATATATATATATATATATAAGATCGTTGCCAAACTTAACATGCTGGTCTGTCATATCATAACAAACAAGATTTACATAGGAACTTGGAACTTGTGTCCGAAAATGTGAACGGCGATTACTAGAAGGCAATGTTTGCAGGCTTATGAAAGAGTGGAAAGTTTCATTTCAGGCGACGACGTTGTACGGCAAATATGATTCGGTTTACTTTATTCAGTTCTTTATAGACATTTTATAGGAAGCGTTTTGCCGGATGTGATGGTCGACGTTCCGGCAGCTACATGCAGAAATATCTAGTTTCCTCATGATGGAGCGCCTGCGCATTTTAGCAGCATTGTGCGGGGGATACCTCGATAGGACATGCCTTGATCGCTAGATTTGTAAAGGCGGACCAGTCGCTTGGCCACCGCAACTTATTTCTACCTTTAGGAATTTTTTTATTTAACCTGGATTTCTACCTTTAGGGTTACATGAAGTCGATGGTGTACGAGACGACAATCGGACATGAATTTCGTTGCCAGGATCGAGGAAGCGGCGGCACATGTCCGTGACACACCTGCACATTTTGAATGAGCCTGTGAATCCATGCGCCGACGTTATGAAGCATGCATTGCGGCGAATGGAAGGAATTTTGAACCTAATTTCGAGCATCATCTGTGGTTTAGCCATGTTCATTAAGTCATAGTAACACCTCTTTCGATATCCTTTCGTTCTTCTCCTCTAGGCTTGCGAACATTGCCCTGTAGCAGTCACCGTTTTTGTATTTTCAGACATAATTTCCTACGCAAATCTTGTTTGTCATGGTATAACAAACCGACATGTTAAGTTTGACAATAACCTTTTGAGACACCTTATATATACACACAAACCTAATAAAATTTAAAAAGCATACAATACAAAAACACTAGCTACCCTCTACATCGGCAAAAACGAGAGAGAAGTCTGAACATTTGTAATCTTTACAGTGATGTAAAAATATCTGACTAAGGTGTCAGATATTAAGTAAGTATCAGTTCAAGTGTATCACTTATCATCTTTCTGCTTATATTCCTATAGGACTTATTTTATACACAGTACAGGATTACTCACTTCAACAGCATCGGCTTTGTATACTGACACGAATGGAATGTAGAACTGCCACAGGTTCGTGATACTCTCTTTGTTGAAAACATGATTGTAGCCATTCAATGCTATGAAGTCATCTAAAAAGTAGCACGTATGTTAAAGTTTAACGGTTTACATATACTTTCAAGAATTATAACAGTGCACACTTCACGCAAAAATGAGAACAACCGATTTACTCCAATTTTCAGCTAGTTTGGAGAAAAAAAAAACAATTAAATTTTTAAATTGGTCAAAAATGTAGTCTTAAATGGGCGTAGAATGTGATAAAAACTCTACCAGTTTCGAAACTGATTCATCCCAGTATCATTATCTTGAAAGATGTTTTAGCCCAAAGGTTCAATTTTGCACAGAAAGCCTATTAATTTCGTTTTGGCGGTTTGCATTGAAAACTTAAATGCTTTGAATCACTTTTCAAAGTGTTGTCACCAAATATTATCGTCCAGTATCATATTTAAAGAAATTAAATAATGAAGAAGCTGTATAAATGTATGTATGTTTCTAGCATTGTGAAAAAAATGACGGTACCCAGTGCCATTAAATTTTGAATAACGATGTCTACCATCCGAATATGTACACATGGAAGCCCGAATTTTGAATATCGAATTTTATATTTCATATTTTGTAACTTTTGTAAAACTTAATTTTTTATTAACAAACTCAAGGATTTCAAAGCGAGTAATGGCAACACTCTACGAAAAAGAAACATTTTTATCTCCAGCGCGCGAGACTGTATTTCGAAAATTCTAAAGATATGCTTTTTAAAAATATTTTGTGATATTTGTGTTGCATTGAATTTTATGGTTTAAGTGCGAAGAATATTATATTTAATAAATAAAGTAATACACAAAACGTTTAAAAAATCCCTTTGAGCGTAATATAAAATCTGAAAACCTTTCAGTTTTTTTTTTTTTTTTTTTTTTACAAAAATGACAGAAGTAACAACCGTATTTACAAAGAAATCATCGGGGGGGGGGCAGCAATGCAAAAAAGGAAATATAGTTTCAAAGCATTAATTCCAATCCATTTCTTTTTAACGTTTGCAGAATTCTAACAGCTTTTTTACCTTTCCTTATTGTTTTCGTTAACGGATAGCCTTACATTTGCTTTTGTGTTATTCCGCTTATTGATTTACGTATAAATGTAATGTTTTTTTTTTTCCCTTTCTAAAACGTTTTAGCACCTGAAGGAGAGGGCTGGTGGGATGGCCGTCGAAATAGAAAAAAAAAAAAAAAAAAAAAAAAAAAAAAAAAAAAAAAAATGTGGCTAAATTAAAAGTTTTTCAGTCTACGTCATCACTTTGAACTTTTTATTTGTATTTTATACAGTTTTATTTAGTTCAAAGGAAAGCCTTATATTGACTATTTTTATAGTTTTATGGTGATCTGCCTTTATTTTGGGCGGTGGGATGTTGTTTCCTGAGTTTCACAAAAGCATTAAAAAAATCTGATGTTGTCGCCACATGACTTCCTTGTATGACCGATTAAGTTTAACATTTTTTTTTTTTTTTTTTTTTTTTTTGCTGCATTTCATTTAGACTTATTTCCTCGAATTTCATTAGAGATGTATTTCCCATTCAATTAATTCAATTCTCACTTCGCGGAAAAGCAAAAATATTCAAAAAATCTTCATTAAAAATTATAAAATACAGAAAAACATAAAACACCAAATACAGTTAAAACAGTTAAAAAAACAACCTTTACAATTATAATTAGAGTTTCTACGCAAAAACAAGAAATTCAGCCAGCGGTGCGAGAAGGCAGATTTTTCGGCGCACAAAACTGAAAGTTTAAATTTAGTCCCACTCGGCAAAAAGACACTGAAGGTGCAGAAACTGACTTAATTCCCCATTCTACTGAGTTTCAAATGCAAACAAATAGCGGCTCGTTAGGCTTAACTCGCCACTTTTAAATTGTTGATAATTCTAAAACTATTGCATGCAGATTAACAAAAGACACAAAAACCTAAACCGGCACATAAAAACCACATAATTAAATTACTTTTAAAGCAAAAAATGCTCAATTTACCACCATATAAGAATAAAAAAATAAACTGAGCTCACCTAGCTAGGTAACAGAGTGGGAATATATATATATATATGATTGGTGCAGCCGACTGTAACGAAAAAGGGCGGTGCACAACTACATATTATAGCAGTCCCGTATACAGAATTTGAAAGTTCTACGGCTACTCATTCTTGAGTTATGCGAGAAAAATATATACATACGTACTTACAGACGTCAATGAAAAAAATCTCTTTTGAATCCATTTTAAATCCGTTTTACAATCCTTTTTAGCAAAAATAGTCTTTTATTCTGTCCATACGTAGAGATATCACGCAAAAACATCGTTCAAATGGTTTCGAGAGCGGTTGAATTGGATATTTTCGTTGAAATAGTATGTTGAAAGTTTTCGCGATTCCAATACTTCCTTTATTTCGTACAAAGAAGTAAAAATGACAAGATGTGTAAATCTTTTCTAGGTGTCTATTATTGGAAAGTAAATATATGCAATCTGCATAGCATCAGTTTGAACTTATAATATTCCTCTGTTCTGATTTTAGAAGGATGAAAAACTTGTAAAAAAATTCGTTTATGAATTATTAACAGTGCAGTTTATAATTAAAAGTATTTAAGAATTAGAACTGAAATTCCCGTGGAGAAGTAGGTAAGATACATATATTAAACCTTTCTTAATTACACAATTTTAGCAAAGGACACTTAGAAAAAGAAGGATTTTTTTAAATATCAAAATACTAATGATCACGTGTTTTTAAAATAAAGCTGGGTAAACCGCATGCAAATAATGTATTCAGTTGACAATTCATTATGTCAATGACTATATTCAATTGACTTAAATCTTTTGTACGAAACTTTTGATTTGAAATCCACCATTATTAGAAAAACCGCGATTTTATATTTAGTCACATAACATCAAGAATATTATGATAGCTAAAAATTTACGTTTACTGAATGAAAACTACAAAAATTATGTGTACTTTTTAATCAAAACAGTTGTGGGGGATAGTATGATAAAGATTCCTGTTTGATTTAAAAATGTCTTCTCGTCATATCTTAAAACAATGGGGCTGTTAACAATGGCATTACACTTATCATTTAAAAACACACCGCTTGCTGTTGCACAATACCTTAAAAAAATATCGATCGATTACTGAAAAATCACAAACATTTTCCAAGTTACCTCACGGATTCCGAAGAAAATTCATGGGGAAGAATGCTTTTCGAATTATTCTGATTGAGGAAAGATTAGAATATAAGATATTTTCTCCCTCCTTTCTGCATGGGTGTGTAACGGTAGCACACTCGATTCGAATTCTTCGATGATTAATTTGATAGCAAAGAAAAGATATGGGAGAAAATTTCAACATTAAATTTAGAGCGAAAAGTGTGCATCGAGGTACGGAAATCAACACAGTTATTACAAATATACAGGCATGCAAAGTTTAAAAAAATCGGTTCAATCCAATGGGGCTAAATATTAATTTTAAAATCTGGTACAAAAACAACAAGCAGTGAAATCAACAAACAATGAAATCGAGATAAAGTTTAATTATGTATTTTTTTCCTAAGACGAAGGATACCTTCGTGGAGGACTTTTTAAGCGAAACTGGTTCGTATAAACGTTACACATGGGGAAAGCCAAGAAAACGCCCATACAGGCAACCCATTCACCGGGATTCGAATTAAAAGTACCAGTTCAGAAGTCAAACAACAAAAATCAGCGTTATATTTTCAAAATTTTCACAGGACTAGTTTCGATGGTTTTACCGAACCACCATCCTCAGTACCAGTGTTAAGCGACTTTTAATGCTCGACCGCTGGTGGGCCATTTGAGTCTCTGCAATCATACATATGTAGGTCGACAGTAATATAACCATCAGAGCAGGAAGCAAATGAGGAAACCCAGTGAACTCAAAACATCTAAAAAGAGAAAAATCAGTACAAAATAGATGAAAGGTTGCTAAGAAGAGAAATTATGGATTATGTGCTGTGTCTTGAGGGTGGGCAACGCATTATATACAACGAACCACGTATGTTCACAATAACCACGTATAACCACAATGAATGGGAAATAACTTTTGTCTTAAATTTCTGAGTGTATAGCTTAAATTTTATATTATTGACAAACTTAGGGAAAAAGGAAAATTACAAATCAAGCAGCTCTGTACCCTACCCTTACGCGACTTGGGACCAAAATGAAAACTGAAGGAAGATGAACAAATGTGGATGAAGATATCAGATGAAAAAATTGCAAATGAATGAATAGCTTAAGTACTCTTTAAATAGTGCTCATTGCTAAAATCTCGTCTAACTGATCAAATACTCTATACTTGCTGATTGACCAAATACTAAGTAAAACTGTAACAATTGACCACAAAAGTGCTATAAATGCGTAAATGCATTTTATCACCTTATTATTATTATTATTATTAATACCCAAAAATGGCGTGAGCACAGGTGCGCTATTAGCCTCGAAACGGACTTTAGCGTCGAGTCACTTTTCCATTTCTTGCCGCCAAATATTATCACCCTGCATTATATTTAAAGAAATTAAATAATGAAGAGTCTGCATGAATGTACGTTTCTCGCATTGTGAAAAAACGACGGTACCTAGAGCCATCCAATTTTTAATAACTTAATCCTTCACCCGATCATGGTCACTTGGAAGTTCGAATTTTATATTTCTAATTCATATTTTATAAAGCTTAAATATGAATTTTTGATTTACAAGCTCGACGATTTGAAAGCGAGTAGTTGTTGTTGTCTTGTCCATATTACGTGGAACAATGGATTCCAGAGCCTACTTCCAAAGACAGGTTGGACTTCTATTTTCCATCCGCAATTTTGAGGAAGTGCATCCAAGGGGGAGGTTCCGGGGGTCTCTTATCCCGCTCCCCTTCCAGCAATCCACACAAAAGAACTTTCAGTTTGCCTTATATTTAGAGTGCCGCCATGCCACACCGATACTATACTTTTACAAACACCCACGTCTTCTCCGGGACCTTCGGTACCGTAGTAGGCTCCCCTAACCACTATACTGTCTGAGCGACGAAAGCGAGTGGTGGCAACACTGTACGGAATAAAACATTTTTATCCCCAGCGCGCAAGGCAGTCTATCGAAAATTCTAAAGATATGCTGTTTTTAAATATTTTTAGCCCAAAGGCTTTCGAAATGGCTCTAGAAACGTGTATGTGTGTGTAAATAAAATCCCTTTGAGAGCAATACAAAATCCGAAAGCTTTCAGATTTTTTTAACTATTTTATTTATATATTTTTAAAAAATTTTTATTTATTTATTCTTGCCAAATAGCACAAAACTTAATATATACATTCAGAAATATGACTGATAGTGGTTAATTGTATCTCAGGTGTTGCTCCAGCCTGGTGAGGTACAGAATTGTAAAGAATTTCTATTATCAATGTATTTTTTTCTTCTGCTTTTTACATATTTTTCATCCTTATGATATCTTTCAGTTGAAATCGTTGAGGTTTTCAATCAAAAATTCGTTAAAGTTTTACAAAATATGAAATAGTAAAACAAATTTGAAATTCAAAATTCTAATGCAATTGATATTATAATGATTAAACTACCGCCAACCTACATTTTTATTTTTCCAGCAACACAAATATATATTGTAATTTGGATACTTTATTATTTACATTCGCTTACATCATTTTGATCTATATTATAAATTAACTCTACGCTGCAGTTTATAAGCGTTTATCTTTTTCTCCATTTATTTCAGTTTTCATTTTTAATTAGGCATAAAGTAATATGCATAGCAGTATAACGTTATATACAAAAATAATACAAAACAGCATATATAATAGGTGTTAAAATATTGAAAAATACCAGTACTTACAAACATTTGGAGGCCATTGTTTCTTAACTAATCGGTGCGGCAGTAGCAATTGAACGTGACCGAAAATGTGATAAAATCTTAATTTAAAAGAAGGTAGTTTTTCTATGATATTCACCAAACGTCGTCTTTTAAAGAAAATTCGAGCAAAGTAAAACAATAAAGCACCAAAGAACAAAATACAAACGAAATGGAAGGGTAAACCTGTTGAAATGAATTCAAGCATTTTTATTCCTTACAAAACTGAGTAACCGGGAAAAAAACAAACTGTAGTGTTGTTTGCTAGTTCTTATCATTGTTATCTGTCTCGATTTCCCTGACATTATATTACAGGCAAGACAGATAATACGGTACATATCTTATGACAAGATTATGCTGTTTATTAAATAAAATTGTTGATGAAATGCAGTATCGTTGACCCCAACTCATTGACGATACTTTATGAGATTAGAATGGAATACATATGCATGGGAGAAAATAAGAGGAGAGAAAAAGTGTCATTTGCATTGTTAACTGCTGGATTAAATATAAACTGAATGTGAAAAAGATAACCTTTATTTCATAAATATTGCCCCCCCCCAATAAAAAGTTCCGTTTAACTGAAACAGTTAAGCTAAGACTGAATTTTTAATTTTTAATTTTTTATATTGTTTTATTTAATTTGGTTACTTTGTTCTTCTGCTCGCTTCAAATCTTGAATTTAATTTGGAACCGTTCTGTAGCGCTGATTTTCTTAAACTCTTTCACACATGCGCTTTTGCGATGCCCGTGCAATATTCTACAGCGATTCTTTAAAGACTTAGCTACACGTTTTCTTGTATTTAATTTAGATGTTTTTTTCATCTGTCCTTACTTAAACATTGTAAGGATATTTTAATTTCATAACAATTATTTTAATTTAGTTAACCTTTCCTATCGCTCCTCGTTTCAACTTACTATTCCCTACCAGAATGAGTTTTTAGAATCGCGTTGCATACAAATGAGTAAGAGATAGTATTAAAGGAAAGTAAAGATAGTATTAAAGCCGTTAGGCCGTTAGAATTGTGTTAGCTTCGACTAAATCTCTTAGTTAGATATAGTTAGTTCTTATTTCTTATTTTTGAGTTAAAGCCCAAGTGGAGGCTTTCTTGTAAGCCTGAAGAAAGGAGCCGACTGAAGAAAGGACCGATAAGACTGTTCATCTTATGTTTGAGTGAAAAAAGGGTAATTTGTAGAGACTGGGATGAGGGGTCCAGTCGCCAAATCTTGGTGGTGGAGCATCATCATTCACCATTTTTTTTTAGTTCGGGCTCCACTTCAGAGTCATTAGGTTATTTCGAAGTAGGAGACATGAAAAGTGAGCAGCGCCTTCACCGGGACTCGAGCCTCGAACCTCTCGAATACGCGCCGAAGGTGCTGGCCATTACACCACGAAGGCATGCTGAGAAGGCGGGAGAAATACCTTATAAATTAACCCTTTTTGAGTAGCGATAATTCACTTAACAGCTCACTAGGTTCCTCAACATTTAATTTAGCAGAATAAAAGTGAGGAACTCTACAACATCAAACTAATCATTCAAGTTTTAAAATTTATTATTATCAGCAATCTTACGATTTTATCTTCAGTCACATATGGCAGGTATGTTCTGAAAGTTACTTTTTTTTCCTTCTTTCCATATTTCCATCTACTTAAACCAAGTAATAGATGTGCCTTAAAATATAGCTTATATATATATCTATACTTTTTCTTATTCAAAAATAAACATGCATCTTATAATATGTATCTTATAATACGTAAACATGTATCTTATAATATGATTCAAATGAGAAATGATTTAAAAAGTAAATTTTATTCTAAACATGTTCAAATCTAACATTATTTCTAAAATTACTGAATAGAAAAATAAACTGCTTCAGTGTTTTAACGAAACAAACCTGACCATGGGTTATACGTCAAAAATGTGCAAGGCGATCGAAAACTCGCATACATCTTTAAAAAACTATAAAAATCCGGAAATGAATACAAACTGAAAATTGTTTCAATGGATGATGCCCTGTACTGTTACAAGTAATATATCACTTGAAAATTTCAGTTGTAGTTTATGGTGTTAGCTTAAAAAAAACCAGTTGTTTACTGTAAGATAGAAATCAGTTTTCCAATGCAGACTGAAGTCTTATTAGGATTGACCATTATTCTGCAACGCATAAATTTCATTGTTATACCACTTTTCTCACATTCTTTGTTGGTGATTCGACATTTTACGACTGATTTCGCTCATTTTGGTAAAATCGGCAGACACAGGGACAATTCCTTTTTTATAGTGAAAGCTTTGAGTCTCCAAATAAAATTATAAACAGCAAAGTCGTTGTTAAGTTAAAGAGCATTTGGAACGGTCTTATTAAACGTCAGAGGAGCGGCCGAGCGATAAATTCGCTGAACGCTGGTAGTTTGACCTCAGTTCGACTCCAGGCGAACGGGCGTTTCTATGGTTTTCCCCAAATAAAAAATGGATACAAGGAGGTTAGAATAGAAGGTAAGTATTAATATTTTGATTAGAATAGAAGGTAAGTATTAATATTTTTATTAACTTATGTAAATGTAAAATCGCCACTATTAATGTATTCTTAATAAGGAGATAGTGGTAAATAAAGAATTATTAAGTTACGATTAATAACTTAATAATATAACTAATAATAACTTAATAGTGTAGTAACTTAATAATAATAATAGTGGTGAATAAAAAAGAATACTACTAATGTATTCTTTAATTCACTATTAATGTACTTTTTATGAATGCTATCCAGTAATGTAATATCACATACAAGTGTGATAAAACCCTTCTGGCCGATGATAATCGGCGGCATAATTAACGCAGCACACCCAGCACAGATTAAAACAAAAATACAGTTAAAAACATTAAATCAAAATTCCCAATATTTGTTCTATTGCCATTTATAAATTTCATCAAATCCTTTGCAAATCTAAACTCTTTCCTGCCATAATAGAATTCCTTTATGCTAATGTTTTATCCTAAATGTCGCAATAATATGCAGCCTTCAAAGAAATGTGCATTGCCCTCAGCACTGCAAAAATTACTAAGACAATTACTTTGCAAATTAAATCTTTTCAGGTACGCCAGTGTCCAGTAATTTTTTTGATTGTAATCAAAACACATATCATTCTCATATTTTTAAACTTCAGTGTTATACAGCATCAGATTTCCATTTGAACCTTCTACGCTGTCTTCTGGCATCACAAGGCACCAAGCTGATGACAGCCGGAATACGTTGTGCGGTTGACAGTGGCACTTGGAAAATCAGATTTCAGGCTTAAAAGTATCAACACAATCTTGGATATATGAGTAATATTTCTTATCAACTGTAGCTGCGACAGCTAAAGTTACAGTGAATACATCTTTTAATTAAAATACTTGAATACTGCGAAACATTTATAGAGTTTTTGGTAGCATAAACTAGTATCACACTCCTAACAGACTTAGAGGGAATTATCGCTGTGCCTGAAGTTAACGACAGAGACATGGAAAAGGTTAAAATAGCCTTTTTATTAAAATCAGAATTTGAACATAAAATGCACGTCTCGTGTTTACAAATTAGCTGCCACGTTTGGTTTAACGTTTGTAACTTAAAGTAAGTCAAATTCAAATTTAAACTAAGCCTAGTAGTCAAAGACTATACAATTGATTTCAGATTCTAAATTGGCTTCGATTTCTCAGCGGCGTAACAATTAGATGTCGGCAGCTATCACACAAAGCCGAAGAATTACAATCTTATCAGAGCTGGCAAAATCTAGTAATTACCTCTAAAAAAAGCGCAGCTTAAATACTTAAATACTCTTTAACTGATTTATATTTCTGGTGAGGAAATGGGGACAAGGAAGGTATAGTAAAGGTTTAATTCATACTAACTTATTAACTAAAATAATAATATCTCTATATATTATTGGATTTTAAAGAAAATACAAGGTTGTAGAATCCATCTGCCAGTCAGTTCAGTTCGAGTTATCTGTGGTTTCTTTTGCCAGAACTATATCAAGTTTCTTGGATTGTCTGAAGAGACTACCAGCTCAGACTAAATACTGCGCATCTGATCAGAAGCCGCCTCACCATCGTGTAAAATCCTTGTTTACTCTATTGTTTACTGTCATTTTCATGACTATGTACGACAATGAACCTACGCCATGCTTTCTTTTTTGCTTCTCAAATCCCAGCTCTCCTATAATGTTATTGGTTCCTGGTTCATGAAATTCTCACGGGCAAGTCATTTCACTGAAGACACAAGATTCCACTGAATTAGATTGGAATACGCTTTATTCCGCAATCAAATATAATACTTGATTGCCCAGGGAAACATTTTGTGGTGATGGTGAGCTTTAGCATGAAAATGCGTCATCTAAATCCGAGCAGAAACTTCCGAGGTGTGTTTCGAAAAACTGTCATTTGAGTTCCAGATTTTACTCTGGTTCAAATTATAACCTACAGAAGCTCTCAGAGATATCGCTGAGCTTGATGAGTCCATGATTCCGGCTCTGAGGTAGGGAAGGAGATGCGCAACAAGATGGTTGGGCAATACTTTCGGCAACTCTCCGATGTTTGTTGGAATCGATGTCGTGGTGTATTATGACAGTTCTTCCGGCTAAAAGCAGATCTAGACGTTTATTGGGTTAACACGTATCTAATATTTTGTTTGCAGAATTCATATATATGCGTTCTTCCCACAGCTATGGTTTTGTTTCGCATAATCTACGAATAAAAACAAGAACAAACTGTTTCAAAAGATATTTTATTTTCTTAATCTTGATACAACAAACTTTAATAAAAATAAACTGTAACTTACTGGAGGGAATGGTCACAAAATGTATTACAAAGAAAAGAAAATAAAAGTGAAAGAGGAATCGTTATAAAACAAGACCGATTTTATTGCTTATTTTCTGCGCGCGTGCACACACACACAAACACACACACACACATATAGCATATAGAGCTCTAATGCAATTTTTGATCCAACGCTTGCATCCTAGTTTCATATAATGTCTACTAAGTTATAAAAATACGTAAAATAATACTATAAATAAGCAAATTCTAGAAACTGCATAAATACAGGACGGAATAAATTCCAAAATCAACGACTGATTATAATAAAAGAAGAAATCATTTATTTCAGATTTATTTATGTGAGGCAAATGATAACATGGTTTGACAATTTAAATTCTAAGTGAATAGTTGAATATTTATTTAGTAATAAAAGAAAAGATTCTTTCGCGACTGCGCCATCACTGGAACTAGTTATGGGGGATGATACTGCTATTAACGAGGTACTAGTTAATGAGAGATGTAGCTTTCTCTTCCGAATCTTTTTAAATCCGTGAGAGAAAGAAAGACCAAGAAAGTAAACGCGCAAGTTAAATACAGACTTGCACCAGTATCCGCATAATGTGCTACTAAACTTGCCATGGATAATATCCAAAGTTTATGTAAAGAAGTGTGTAGATAAAATGCATAATAAATGCGTTGCATTTAATTGCTAAATAATGCACAGTAAGACATTAACAGTGTTAAAGAAATGATAAAGTGTACTGCATATTTACGCTGTACTTTTTTTTTACCTAATAGTGGAAGTAAGGAATTCTAAAGTTTTAACCTAACTCTCAAGCAACGATTAAATATTGTACACTGTACAGTACTGTGCAGAGTTCCAAGAGATGACATACCAATAAAACCATGCTTTCTAGCAAAACATAAAAAATGAAATACTAAACAGAATATCCATGCTTTTTGATTCTAATAGTCAAGACTGCCGTAAGAAGGCAGGATCAAGTGCATTTGGGCTGTTGTATTTTACCATTCATGAGCCGTTTCCTTCTGAGAACGATTGGTAATTTATAAAACTATATTCTTTCATAAAATTTTGGATCTCGGTTACCAGAGGTTAACTGAAACTGTGCATAGGGAACTTACTTGTATAACTGTATAGCACGTTAATCATTCGCTTCACATAAACTAAATAGTATATCAGCTATTTTGGCCCCTGGTATTAGGAATCAAGAACAGGTATTGTAGATAGTCAGATTAACTATCGAACAACTAGATGATGTCTCATAAATCCAGTGTCATACAATACTTTCTGGAATGTGCTCAAAACGAACCATTTTGTTTTTAGTAAGTAGATTCAATCGATACTGCCGCTTCATCATTATACTACATTAGCTGCGAGATAGAAGAACCGATCTCAGGACCAATAGGAAGGATTCTTTCCCGATGGCTTCGGACCAAAACCTTCTGGCTTAAAATGAATCCAGGTGTAGAAGTCCAATGGTGCCCGGACTAGGTTTAATGAGGGTCACACAGCAGTCCACTGGTGACCTGCCCAGTGTCCTGACAACGTGCGATTAATTTTTATGACTCTGGATTTATGAAACATTTTATATGAGAAAAATAAATGTGGTAGCTGTCTTCTGACTCGCTGACAACAAGAATCTGGACTCAAAATTCGCTTTCTTGGGAAGAGTAAGAAAGAGTTCTTCGGACGGAATTCTGCTGCTTTGGACAATCTTCGGTGTCATGGACATCGAACACATCGCATATGTCGCAGAATAGACGAGAGGTTGACCGATGATTCGGAACACCCCTAGGGAAAGAAATGCACACACACAGTATTAATTTATTAAATTATTATGTATCTGTAAATATTTACTTCATTTATAAGACAACAATTAAATTTTAATTTACTGATACGAAGAGTAAACTAGAAAACTCGTAATTAATGTTTCAAACTGTTCTAAAGATTTGCCAGAAAATGTATGAAGAACCAATTGTAATTAAATATAACATTTTTTAGATGTATCCACCCTTCAGCCAAACACGCTTTATGCATAATAAAATTTATAAATTAAAAATATTGCAACCTTATTCTTATTTTCGCAGTGTGATATTACAATTGTTGAGTAAGAAATACCGGTAAAATATTCCCACTTTGACAATAAATTATTCTTATATTCTTTCAAGCCGATTTCTCGTATCTATAACTTGCTGCCATATTATATTTACAGGAAGAACACAAATTCTTTAAGTGATTATATCACTTTTTCAGAAAATAGCTGCGGAAGATAAAAATATTGAATCTGTATTGTTGAGTAGCCCTGTTGTCACAGTATCTTTACCTAATGTAAACATCACTATAGTTGCGTGTACTCAAAGAACAGTTAATAACGAAATAGTGTTGACGAAAGGTGTCATGGAACCATTTCTCAACGGCGATTTCCAATATTTGCATGGGTTCTGGTACTATCTCAAGGAATTGCTATGGAAAAGTTTAAAGAAAGCGAAGTGCAAACTTTTCAGGCTTTGCAACCCAATGATTGTCCCAAACATGCTACTTTTGCTACTGAGATTCTCAGCATAATAAGTGACGAACAGCGATTGCTTAAATTGTATGAATTTTTCAAAAACGCAATCCTTAATAATAATAATCCTTAGGCAGATAAGCATGATGTATGAATCTGGGATTCAACAAATCCATATGCCGCTTTGTAGACGGAAAGAGACTGCGCTAAGATGAATGCTAATGTGTGGCACAATAATAAGGTTACTGGAACATTTTTCATTACCGCGGCAAGCATTACAAATAATGTTTAATTTATACATCTTGGAGATGTCCATTACACCTCAGAAGAATTACAACCACAGATCATATTCTCCAACAAAATGGCGCACTCCTCACTAGGATTTCGCCGATCATGAATTCTTAAACGCAAATTGCTCCATGGATTGAGAGGGATGGTTCAATACAATGGCTCTGGCGGTCTCCTGAAATTTCCTCTTTCGATTTCTTCGTTTGGGATTATATCTTGGATAAGATCTTTGCTATTGCTGTTCGTGATATTGATATTTTAACAGCCAGGAGAATAGATATTACAAAGCAAATATTGAATAACACGTAGCGATAACTGGAATATTGACTTAACATTTTGCAATCTATAAAAGGGAAGCACGTTAAAATTTGTTGACGTAAGTACTATCCATAAAAAAAAAAAAAACTTCTATTACTTCAGTTACGATTTAAAACAAACAAACAAACAAACATATATGTACAATTATTACAATTTTCATGCAATAAATTTTTGCGAGAAAATAACTTGAACTTTTTCTTGCGTAGCCAGAAAAATACTTAATTCTCACCTATATAATTTGCCATTAAGACATAGCAAAGTAGTAATAAAATCAGTATTGACTCAAGTGGGATGTGCGTTCTAATGGTCAGTCAGAAGAAGCGTCTTGTCTGGAAATGATATGAGTAACTCTTTTGCTAACGGAAGGTGACAAAGTTACACGGGCTTATATGTGGTAAAAAAACGCAGCTGTTTGAGTATTTTCCCCTGACTTTGTACAAACGGATTCTTTACAACAGCAGCATCATTACATCACTCATCGTCAAAGAAGCCAGAAGCTTGGATTCCAACATTTTACTTTCCAACAGAGAGAATATGACGCTGAAAATGCTGGCAAGTTTCATATGTCAAAGATATGCCTCCCGGAAATTGCTTCGTGCAGTTTCTTTACCCAACAAGATCACGAACGACTGCTGCATTCATTGGGTTCTAATTTCAGCACTGATTCCCATCAGTAGTTTAGAACTCATCTCAAATGAAAGAATCCCTGAAAAAGAAATCTTTTACACAGGAAGTTTCCTCTAAGCAACACCATCTATATGAGAGAATACTTGGAGCCCTTGCAGCTTGGCATCAATAAATTTAGTTCTGTCGGTATCATTTAATGCCTTCCAGAAGTGTGATAAAAAATTATAAATAGAGTATATTATCCTGAAATTTCTAAACTTATTATGATCTACGAAAGAATACATATTTTATCACATTTAAAGACATTTCCATCATTCGTTTTTTGGTTTATTATTATTTCACCTGATCTAATTTTTTCAGTTCGATTTATTCATTTTTTTTATTTTTCTAAACCTAATTGCTGAAAATAAAAGAATTTAACACCTGGAAAAGAAATGAGAAAATATTTGTACATTTTTGTTCGCAGGAATCTTGAAAAATGACTAGCGTCCTCGTCAGGATTCTAACTTGAGGCATATCAAACTTTTCTTTCGAGGTGTTTACCACTACACCACAAGGATACATGAGGAGGAATACCTTTAATTCCATATATATAATATATATTATAATTTCATATATATACAGGGCGATTGAGGGGTCAAATCAAGATGGTGATGGAACATAGTCCATTCTACTTTAATTCCGGCATCATTGTAAAGAGCATTATGATTTTTGGAGCAAACATAGTCAATAATCAGCAGGTAGGAATTGAACCTAAGGTTCTGCAATCTCAAGCTAGATGTGCTGTTTGATTAATAAGGACACAACAAGGACCCATGGAAGATACGCACTTAATTCTTTACAAACTGTGTAAATGAAATCGGTTTCAATACGCTGACCGCTGTGTATGTAATATTAGTTATTGCTGAATTACCGTGTAATGCAGAATTTAAAATCAGGAGATACAACATCCTGAAATCATAGTCATGATCTAGCAAAAACCATAAAACCGGATGAATGAGAAGAACAAATATATATTTAGACTGGAGTTAAGAGAAAACAAATTAAAACATTCTTCAGTTTTTGAGTTTGATCGTTGTACTCTTGGTGATACATTACTTTTAATAGATCAGTAAAAATACAATAATGCATATAATATAGAAACTGAATATATATACTGACCGAAGTCAATTGCAGTAAAAGTACATTGTATAAAATTTGAAGCACTGGACAAGAAAAAATTCGATTATGGAACAAGTATTTGTTAGTCGCGATAAGAACATAGGTTTATTCTGATTACAGTAAAGCACACGAGGGCTATCTCCCTAAGGGTAAAATGCTTACGTAGAGGACTTTCTAAAGGAAAATGGCTCTTATTTTCTTTACGCATTAGGTTTGGTTATGGTAGATTCTGGGAAAGCACATTAGTGCTATCTGCATAAGGGAAGGAGTGACGTTGTGGAAGACTTTCTAAGGGGCTCACATATATGTTACACATGAGGAAAAATACGAAAACGCCCATGCAGCCGGCCCGTTCGTTTGGAATCGAAACCATATCAGAACTATCAGTGTTCAGCGATTTTACCGCTCGGCCGCTGGTGGGCCGTTACGCATTAGGAAAACCACGAATACATTCATTCAGATAGCCCGTTTTCCTGGAATCAAACCCAGCTCAAACTAGCAGGGTTCAACGTTTTTATAGTTCGGCTACTGCTTGACCGATGAGAACAGAAGAATGGCAGTGTCATTGTGAGCATAGGTTTCAAAATTATTCTGCCATTCTGCGTAACAAAACTCAGGAAATTTGAGAAATTTGACAGAAAAGAAGTGTACTATAATTTGCATGTGAAGTAGTTAAAAGAAAAAAAGAAGCCTACAGCTGCAAATGTCCGTCAAAGATGACTTCTGTCTCTAAAATGTCCAACCTAGATCGAAGATCGTCATTCTTATGCTGCATGTCGACAATCACGCTGTTCAAGAAGTTGACCTGCAAAAAGAATTAAAATAATCTATGAATATTCCTTAAACATTAGAAACATGTCATTAAAATTTCATTACAAGTAACACCTTACGCTGTTGTTGTTAAAAAATAAGACATGTTAACCTGTCTGTTTTTTGTTAAAGAACTATGATGTTAAACCGCCTGTTAAACTCCATCAAAGTTGATCAACATTGTTAACACGGACAATATTTAAATAGTTCCTATGAAAGTGTAGTGTATGTTGAACTACTTTTTATTTCTCTCAGATTACTTTTGTTATTAAAATGTGCAGTAGTTACCTTTATATTACGTATAAAAAACTTTATTTAACATTTCATAAAGATGGGGTCTATGTCTTTTACTGTATGCATTTTTTCCTCGAAACTTCATTCGAAATTAAAATTTTATTACCTCAAGAACTCTTTATTTCGAATCTTTTATTCTCCACTTGAGATTTAAGATACTATCTAGAATAGATTATATTTTATTTCGAAATTTAGTTTGAATTTTTCTATAATGATAAAGACATCGGAATGTTGATGAATATTTTAAGTTTTTTTTTATAAATATTATCTATTTGTTCAGTTGTCCTCACATTCAATTCTGGAAATTTACTAGGATTCTTATACCTGGATTTCATCTAGCTGTGTATGGGTGAAATACTCATAGCTAAAAAATATGAGGAAATATTCTTATTTCTGGTAAACGTTCAGTCTGAAAATTCGTTACATCTGAGGGAACCATGGAAACGAAATATTTAGTTTCTTTATTACAAAATTTATATTTTATTTTACCTGTTGTTCCATCGCTTCTTTGTCGATCTTCAGCTGTTCAATGTCGGGATCTGCAAGATGCATATGAAGAAAAAAATAACCAAGGGCAACCTTAATAATGAAAAGCTATTATTTGGATAAAAATTGCTTCGCATTAAGGAAAAGTAAACAAATAAGATGTAAACAAACTTAATTGGAGGCCTGGAATTTGCTGGAAAAAATACAATGCGGGAACTTTGAGACAAACTTTAGATGAAGTCATCGAAGTTAAGGTACTGTAGTTTTCTTCACTGAGTTAAAAAATTATTAATATAATAATTAAAAGAGGATATCTTTAGAATTTCCGATGCACAGTCTCGCGAGCTGGAGATAAAATTTTTTTGGTACATTGTTGCCATTGCTCGCTTTGAAATCCTTGAGTTTGTTAATCAAAAATTCATAAAAGTTTTACAAAATATTAAATAGATAATAAAACAAATTCCAAACTCCAAATTTGGGCTTCCAGATGACCATATTCGGGTGGAAACGTATGTTATTCAAAATTGGATGGCTCTAGGTACGTCGTTTTATCACAGTGCGAGAAACATACATACATTTAAGCAGATTCTTCATTATTTAATTTCTTTAAATGTAATACAGAGCTGTCATATTTGGTGGTAAAAGTTTGAAAAGTCAACCGACATTTCAAGTTTTCAACACAAAGTACCAAAACGAAATTAATAGCCCTTCTGAGCTAACGCCCTTTGGCTAAAAACTGTAATCTGAAAACCGCGTATTAAAGTTAAACAACTCATTAAAGAATTTAACAGTAAGACTTTCAAAATATTTGAAAAGAAATTATAAAAATTAAAGATATTTAAAAAATTGAGTCTAAGCAACATTTTTAGGTGGTAGTTTAACATCTGAAACCATTTAAAACTGCGAAAACAGTCCCCTTAACTTAAGAAATAATAACCAAGTAAGAATGGAAAGTAATTTAAATTACTTGGTTCTGTTCTGCCATTCTTCAGAGCTGCCAGTTCGACTTGCAAATCAACGATTTTTTGTTCTAGTTGCGATTTCTCCACTTCGTTCTTTTCAAGATCTTTAGCCTGAAATAAACCATATGATACTGATAAGCCACATGATAACCCATATGATACTGATAAATGCTGAAATAACCATATGATACTGAAGCATATTCCACATTTAATAGAGATCAGAACAGTATTTTTATCAACCTATACTCCTTAACACCATCATTTCATAAGACATTACTAGGGCTTAGCAAGGAAGTGTAATAAATGGATTAATCATATTCCCCAGATGTTTATATAATGATTCCCACAGACATGAATACATTCTCAAAGATTTTGTAAAGGTAAAAAATGCTGAGAAGTGCTTATGTGGAAGAAGCATGCACAAGGAGAATCAGAAATCCACTATCCAATGATATAAATCACATTTTTCAGGACTAATATTCGTCACTGGCACTGCGAAAATTACCATATCAGAGGCTCAAGGATAAGTGGGCAGAATTCAGTGGTAAAATATCTATTAACTGTTATATCAAGTACCAAGACTATATTATTAGTAAGCAAGTGTTATCCTTAACCTGATTATTAAATTTTATGCAGCTCGAAGAGTTTTAAAAATAAGCCGTGTCTTTGGCGGGATTGTAATCGCGGATCTTCTACTTGCTAGCTGGGCATGCTACTCACTTTACATAACACGCACGGCGAATGACATAATTGCAATAACTCATTCCTTTGTCCCTTATTTAAATGTGATTTGGGTGAGACCAAATTCTCAACCAGCCAAGTCCGGGCAATGACGAATTATTGTTTGCCACAATTTTTGGTCGAGCACTGCTGTAGAGACTATCTGGGTTATCGGGGCAAGAAACATGAAATGTCCCAAATTCTAAACCAGCCAAATCCAAGCGATAACGAATTATTGTCTCCCAGCAATTTTTGTTCGGGGACTGTTATAGAAACCATCTGGGTTTTCAGAGCAAGAAACATGAAACGTTCGACTATGGTGTCCTCGGAATTCAAGCTACGAATCTTTAACTGCTTATTTAGACATGCTAACCATTTACATCGCGAGGGCATGCACGTAGGAATAAGTTTTTACTATTCTTCCATATTGCAATAGAAACGAGAAAGCAAATGCTTACATATATGCAATGCATATAACGATAATGTTAACTTTTGGGGTATGTCACCCAGATGGTATAGTGGTTTGGAAAACCGACTACGATACCAAAGGGCCCGGGTTCCAATCCCGGAGAAAGCATGGTTGTATTTGTCCGTCCCCTCATAGGAGGCAAAAGTGGCCCACCTATTAGATGCCTCCATACTAAAGTGACCATAGTTTCTGGCCTTAGTAGTGCCCAACGTCTCTGGACGGTTGGGCCCGTCATTGAGGGAAAAAAAACGTTGGGCCCATATATACACAATTCAGATTATATTTATATTTTTTAGGGTAGAGACCCTTTTCAAAAGAACTTTTATATAGGATTATGAGCATTTGTCTACTAAAATTTACATATTCTGGCATTGGCAGTTCCAGGGGAAAGTAAGGCTTGACAGGAAAGATAGTTTAAACTTAAAATAAATGTTAGTTAAAATAAATATAAACCCTACAAAGTACATGATGTAATAATACATGCTTGTAAGAGCTCTCGAAGTGTATACGTTCGTGAATTTATAAAAGCCTAACACACTTGCATTCACCACAAGTATTAAAATTTTTTGGGTCCTTTCATTTCTTAGTTAACATAAGCGGATTTAAGAATCTTAATTTTAGCAAATGTCTTCCTCACCAGTATAGTGGCTAGTGATGCTGGCAGTCATATCTCTAGGACCGGGTTCGAATCCTGGAGAACGCTCTGATGCTTGTAAGTGTTTTGCGGCATGGCGGCGCTTAAAATACGTGTAGAGCCGAAAGTCTTCTCCAGAGGTTAGGGGTAAACGGATAGAAAACACTTAGACTTGTCGCCTGGGGGATTTTGCTTCAAAATTCGGAGGGGGGAGAGTTGGGGAAAGCTCTTATTGTCTTCCGTATGGTAACTAGTACCCATACGAACGACAGGCGCAATCCTGAGCTCCCGCTGTGATAAAATTCATGTACTTGTTCTAATCCTACTGTCAGAAAAATGCTACAGGTCATAACAACAACTTTTAGCAAGTGCAATGGCTCACTTGGTCCACTACTTGGCACTCACTTGGCCGTATGGGATTTGTTTTCAGTGCGATTCAATGAAAGTCGGACATTGCTCGCACATTGAATGAACTGCGGGGTGAACGAAGAATTTAGACAAGGATATGCTGGGAAGTGTGAAGTAAGTATGGCATACCACAATGCGCCTGGAAGCATGTTGAAATTTATTTTAAATAACGTGCTATTTTTACATTAATTCTTTTTCTGTATCTTTTATTCTTCTGCCAGCTTTCACTAGTGTGCAAATTAATTTAAACAGCGTATGGAATTGCAGTTAGTTAAAGTGCTATATGTGTATGGTGACGTCCTAGTAGACTCATAGTTTGAGGAGCAGAATCACCTACCTCAATTGAACAGCAGCTTAAAGTGTGAATTTGTAACTATTGCATAGTAGGATTAGAATCCCGCTGCTGGAGCCTATTTTGTTGCTGAGACTTAGATTATGTATTTTATTGATTTAAACATTTGAACGAGCGGCGGGTAGCATTTGCTAATTTTCAGCTGTGACTAGTAGGTGTTATAACTTATTATTAGTGTCACTGAAGTTACTTAGACTTTCTAATAGTAGCGAAAACAATACATAGCTTATAAAGCAAGGAAGATTAAACTAGTGAACTTAGACAGTTTGTTAGCCCCTAATTTTAATACCTCTTTTACACATGTAATGTTTTTCTGAACACATCGGGAGGAAAGTTGTTGTTTCCATTTAGCAATTTTTTATCCACTACAAAAGTCAGAAATGGTTAGCAGCGGATAAGGACTAGGACTCTTTCTTTAGGAGACAAAGAACAAAAACAAAAGGAATCCTTCCGAAAGTCATCTTTTCTGTATTCTCTCAGTAACATTTTGTAATGAGTGTTATTTTACATAGCTAGTGCTATTATATTCTAATACCCTATGAGAGGTCAGTTGAATAATTAGTTGAATAATTTAATCTCTAATTCTTTTATCTAAATGCGATGAGCTTTGTTATCTGTAAAACTTTGCTTAGGATTGATACCTCTGAATTTTGGGTTATAAGCAGCTTCTCACGTGTTATTTCTCACCTGTATATTTCAATTCAAAGTAATGGTGTTAACCGTGGATTTTGAAACTCATCAGAATTTGGTATCAATTCTGAGAGCTGAAATAAGTAATTTTTGAAGACGAGAGTCTACAACGTTCGCAAATTTGTGACTTTTGTTGGTTACGACAACCTATTACTTATTGCTATACAGCTACCTATTGAGCTACCTTGCAGATGTCTTATGATTACCTGCAACATCCTGTTCTCGCTTTATTAAGACAATACCTACATTAGTTTCTGAGTATGTTTAACAGATCCGAAATTCCACATTTTACGGTTTCGATGACAGAACCTCATCCAAAGTCAATGAGCGTTTATAAATTGCTTACTAATAGTCATATAGTAAAGTATAGTATAGTCATATAGTCATATATCACTGTTCAATACCAGGAGATATCCACCCCTCGGTTTCAGGCAACCCGTCTGGCTGCATGCGATTTTCGGGGTTTTGTTTTCTCCGTGTGTAATACGAATATAAACTAACTCAGAAATTCTCTTCGAAGGCAATATTTTTTTAAGAAGATAGCCTTCACGTGCTTTAACATAATCAGTTGACTAATCGAAATTTTCCAGTAAATATGTTTTGTAATAACTATGATTTCTTTTATTAAGATGATCTTAAACTAATAACTTAGCCACTGTAAGAATCTTCCATTACATTCTACTGCTATCCTGATACGAATTTCCTTATGGTGTCATATCAAAACAAGGCACAGAAAGCTTTTTCCCCGATTTATCTTTAGAAGGGGGGATGACGAAGATGGTTCAGAAAATGTTGCTAAAGCTGCATCAACGATGTGTTGGTAACGGATTGATATGATTTTATACTTTGGAATCATTCACTTTGGAATCACTTTGGAATGAGCCAATTCGCTATAATTCTGAAATTGTAAGGTTACTTGGCCACATTTCCACCCTTCTTTTTCTTAGGTCGAAACTGGATGCTATATTCTTTTTATCTTGGTTTGTGGCAGAAATTTTGATCACTTCGCAGTGTCGACAGAACTAGTAATAATTGTACTTGTTCAAACAAAGAAATCCTCCCCTCCAGTTTTAGATGTTCATCTGTGGAAACCACTGAAAATGGTTTTGCTGATCGTATCCAATACATTTTACACGCAGAACAGAAAGTTCTAAATATGGAAAAAGATCATACTGAAGGGCTGCCAAATTACAACTTATTATGTTCCGCAAATGAAAAGTTTATTACATACAAACGCATTTCTTTTCAACAGCTCTCCAATCATTGTTAAGAAACACATCTACTAGACTAGCGCTATTCAAAATAGCACTAACAACTACTATATCTATTATGCAAGGTTAGGTTAGGTTATTTGAATATGGCAGACCCACGGAGGTTATCTGACTAAGAGAGAGGATAACGTCGTGGAGGTCTTTCAGAGGGAATCTGGCTTATTTTCACGTTACACATGGGGAAAACCAACCATGCGGCCTGTTCGCCAGCTCGTTATGATCGAACCCAAACTAGGTTGAACTATCCGTAATCAGAGGTCATAAATGGTAGGCATGAATTATGCAAGAATTTTTCGAGATATGGAAAAAATTATCAAGGATTCCACCAAGAGGATAAAGTTGAAAAACTGTTTAAAATCTTACAATTCCGGAATTTGACTGAAAATTATATTAAGAGTCCCTCAGTAATAAAAAAATTAAAATGTTGTTTTCTTGTTTAAAGATACAGGAATTTATCTGAAAATTGTGTTAAAAATTACTTAATTACTTTAGGAATGGAATATTAAAGGTCAGTCTAATTTTTAACAGCTAGATAACTAGTCCGAATAATATAGAATAAGGTTTACTTTACCTGTTGATGCTGAAGTTTCTCTTCTTTCAGTAACTGCGTAGCTTCGAAACTTCTTTGCATCGCCTGTTTCTCTGCTTCGTATTCCAGCAATCTACAATAAGTAATAACCTGGTAACAAGTGTCAATTTACACTGAATTTCTTACCTTTATGAGGGATTTACGAAAATTAACAACAACAAAAAAAAAAAAAAAAAAAACATAAATCATAGATTACTAAAAAACATTAGATAAAATATTATCTCAAGGTTTTAAGAAAAGGAAATTACCTCATCAACATGTTCAACATGAGCAAATACGTTTTAACTCATATAATCATAACTTCATGCTGTACTCTTAGTGGTATAGTTAATTTGTCTTGGGATATGCTTACCCTTAGTGGATGTAGTAAATCCTTTTTGATAATATACTGGGTCTTACTAGATTGTACTCTGTGCGATTAGATCTTCCTGCTGATTCACTGGTCTACTCTGAGTACTGTGGCTTCCAATATTTGGACTCTAGAGAACAGACTTGATTCTTTCATGACTATATACTTGTGTAACTGCTTCATTTCAATAGCGTGAAGATTCTGAACAGGGTGTTGATCCTTATTGTTCATTTACCTGTGTTTTCCTATTATATACGGCTGACATTTAGCTAACTATGATTTTCTACTTTAAACGTTTTTCATTTATTGTTACCATGTTTGTTACTGTAGGCGGCTGCAAATTACTGTCTTAACTATTCTAGAAAATCTTTATATAATAACTCCAGATGTATTTCTTCAACGTATGCAATATACCCAAACAACTCTGTATTTTGTACAAATGTAAACTTTGAAATTTTGACTTTGACAATTAATGCCCGACTGATCTGCTTTAGCCCCGACCTAAGGTTGTGGCCAGCAGATAGTAGATGGTTTTACCTCTGAGTAACATATTCCGTTTGTTGCCTTTAGGCTAACTTAGGTCGGAAGTTGCTCAGTAGGTCAGTGTTGTGGCTTCCAATACAACACAAAGATTTGTCATGGTCATACGAGGGGCTTTTCAAATGTAAACAGGAATTTTGAGCTAAAAATTATTTATTGTATATAATGTTTGCCTGTTTTAAACTATGATATATTTCGCATCGTAGTGGCGTAGCTGGTTAATATGCGGTACTTATATGACAGTAGAAGCAATAGCATTTCCCATTACGTTGTGCAGCTGACAGTCGTTGATGCAAAGCTATGCTACTGACCTGTTATAAATAATTCATACTTCACGTTTTGCTGCCGTTGATCGAATTGGACATACGAGATGGCTGACCAGAATATAGCGAGAGCATCAGTATGAAACTGAGGTACTACATTCGCTAATATTTCAGGTTCATTGATCAATCCCTGCCGGTTTTTGAGCATTTTAACTAAACTCCTGCAACATTTGCGGCCATTTGGAAGAGGCATGCGCAATATTAAGTTTTTCCGAAATACAGTTATTATTTTCTGGAAATCTTAGCTGTCACCTTCCCCTCCCCAAATCGAAAAGAGAGGAAACAGGAAAACACTTTTCTGTCAGGAAAAATATTGATCATATATCACTATGCACATTGCTATAATCATATAGCATTTGTTCCAGAACTTTCTGCCGACAAACAGCCCTCTGATTAAACGATCCCTGAGATTAATCGTTTCACAAAATTAAGGAGCTTCTGGGTGGAAAGGGCTTTCCTGCCAACGAAGAGCTCCAAAAATGCGTAAATGATTTTTTTCGATAAATTAGCGGCAGACATAAATGACACAGATCACACAAACTTATCTACCATTATAAATAAGTGCTTGAAGTGCTATGGGTGCCCGAGTGTAATAATAGTTCAAGATATGTACATACTTTTTAATAATAAAAAAGGCGCAACAAACTTACCAAATGGCTACTTTCTGGACGTGATACAAATATTTAAAAGCGCTTTAATGTCTCTTACATACGCAATACAATTTCTTTTTAAGAAATCCTTGTTTATTATGTATATATTTGAAAGAGGAACTCTTTGATGAAATGACAGTATTGTAGACTCCATCGCAGTGAATGAACAATGGAATCTTTGCTACTCCTGTGTGTAAAATACATTGAGAGTGCTTTTATTTAATTCAATCAGTCCACAAAATTAATTTCAATATGTAAATTAATGACATCATAATGATCAAATAGCGATATACAGTTTTTTTTCCATACTCTGGCATGAATGCCTGGTATTATGTTACAATTGTTATCGCTTTTCTGTCTTTGACGTGATCAAGATTATCGAATTTTTTACAGTTTCTAAGAGAACCTCACAATGAAAAAACTAGTGATGTAGCGAGGTAAGGTCAGAATTTCTTGCGGTTCATGGGATCTCGTTAAAAGAAGACCTGTAACTTGGCGACTTGAAGGAATAAAAAGTTCTGTAGCATACGAGCGTACACATTAAAATTCATATTAGTTTCAACAAAGAAAAAAGTAGCCAAGTATTCTTTAGGCTCAACTAGACAACGACCTTAGGAAAATCCCGAATATGTTTATGGGTCCCATGCCGATTCAGTTTCCAATCTCAAACTCGACAACTGTAGCGATTTACTCAACCGTTGATATGGAACGCTGTCCTCTCCAAGAACAGGAAGGATATTTTCAAGAAATATTAGTTCTTTGTTAAGTTTCTGTAGAACGTTAACTTCATATGGAGGAGGGAATGTGCAGCTTCAGCTCGATGAGGCAATCAGCAGGATTTAAAAATTTAATTTTGTTAGTTCGAAGCAGTAGGTATATTTGTTAGTTCGAAACAACAAGTGAGGCTTCGGATGGCAAAATAGCTGACTATGCATAAATATGCTATTATACTCGTATAATAAGCGGTTTAAAAGCAATAAACATAGTTCTTCAGAATATTTTTAAAACTTTTTAATATGATTCATTTAAATAAAACGCATTAAAAATCATGAGATGTCTAATTAGAAATATTAAATATTTTTATGAAATTAAACTGCTGGACTCATAGAAATCACTTTATATTTTTTCTTTCCTAAAATAAGCTATTTCAGTCGGTAATTCTAAAGATATGCTGTTGGTAAGTATTTTGCGATTTTGTTGCCTACTACAAGCGCATAGAACGTGGTATTTAGTAATTAAAATTAAAAACACAAAAAGTTAGTAATTAAAAAAAAGTATTGTGTAAGTAATCTACAAGAAAACAGAACATTGAAATGACGAATTGAAAACCAACATTTAACACTGTATCGGTTATTCTAGTATATGGTGCTTTTAAAAATTTGTTATTTTGCTGTTGAATTGTATGTGGCGTAAGTGCGAAGAAAGCGATGCTTAATAATAAAGCTAGTAAAAGAGCAGATTGGTTTTCCCTGATGTGAGAGAGCATAAAAAACCTTATCAAACCCTCTAGTGCGACGTTAAAACCTGAAACCTTTCAGATCTTTGTTAGTTGTATTCTAATTTATTTAAAACTACTCTGGATTTGTACTTGTAATGCAGTACAACAGACAAACCATATCATCGGTAAAATACTTGGTGAATAATTTAATCAGTATTATTCAGGTATCACAGTAGTTTTCCGCTTGTATATTGTGAATACAAACGAGTTTACCTTACAAAGGCCTATGAAATTCTCTTTCTGAGTCGAGTTTTGATTTTGTTCAATAGTAAAATTTAATTTTGTTAGTTCGAAGCAACAGGTATTTTAAAATTTATTTACTAAGTTATTTTTTTAATTTAAATTTAATAGATTCTACAAGCTCTAAATACAGCGAGTTTGAGGTGTACTTCTAGCAATAAGATATATGAAATTATTCAGAATTAAGTACGTAAAAGTTTCTTTTCTGATATTCTTAGCACTAAAAATATTTAAATCAGAGTAAATTGAAAAAATAAGCTTACATAAAAATTTTAAAATACACTTACAAAATACTGTGCCATGCCATAGGGTAGGTAATTAAGATGCAACAGGTAATTAAGACATGTTTGGATAATTCAGTGATTTTGCACTTCTTCAAAAATTTCCTTATACACTCACAAATAAATTAAATGATAAGATGTCTAATTAGAATAAAAATCTCGAAAATCTTGAATATTAGAAAACTAACATTGTTGAAATTCGGTTAAACGGGAAATCATATGTACATTTAGTTTCTCTTTAAACTGAATAAAACATTTATTGCCATTTAGTGAAACTAAGTGCTTATATTTGAGACAAATTTAAAGCAAAACTAACAAAGATAGAAACGATTGCTAGGCTTTCCGTTCTCTACGCGAAAAAATAATACACAGGAGAGTTGCTGAGAAGTTCTGTAGTCGAGATTAAAAAATCACACAGACGTAGAAAATGTCTTTATTATTAGTGTAAATGTTAGCAATAACTTGAAGCATACAGGTATTATGTAGATAAGCTTTTAGTACCTGAATAATCAATGTATTTCTGTAGTTTTAAAGATCTTTGGTAGAGTAATAACTTTATTTTTAAAGTAAGACGTTAATACGTATTACTCGAAACGAAACAAATATGTTAAGCATTTAAAAAATTAGTTATTCACTCGGTAGATGGCGCTAGTTAAAAAGAACTAGTTAATTGGATTCTGATCTATTTATCTTATTTCGGTTGAAGATTCAAATTAACCCATAGCAGCAATTATTATATTCTATCAATAAGTTAAATTTTCTGCTTACATTTGTATTTGCAAAAGTGCAATGTTTGTTCTTTAATTCGATTCTTATTTGATAATGCATCTAATATACAAATTCGACAAAGAAATGAAATTTCTTAATGCAGTGGCGCCATCTATTACCATATGCTGCATATGCTAAAATTTATCAGGCGTTAAGAATTTTTTCATTTTAATTTCAAATACACATTTTTCATTGCAATTAGATTATCTATATATCATTGCAATTAGATTATTATTAGAATTCTGAAAAAAAAAAGAACTGAACACAAACTGTACATAAAGACTGTACTGTACATTTTGTTTTTTAAAACTATTTCCGTTATTAAAAAGCGAGGAAATATCATGTACGGTTCGGAAATTTCATTAAATTGAAAGTATTTTTGTCGTTATTCTGAGTGATACAATATGACATAAATTTAAAAAGT